CGGCGAACGAAGAGGGCGGGATAATTTACCGTGATGCTTTCGGGGATTAAAGTCACCGCCTCCTCCGCATCGCAAAGAAATACCTCGGAAAGAGTGGACTTCCTACGAGAAACACGATGGCACTCCCAAGAATCACACGTTTAAAGTTTGTAATTAGCACATTGATGAAGGCAGTGATGCACGAAAACTACCAGACCTCGTACATCCTCATTTCATCTCAATTCTATTTACATCGTCACTCAGATGAACTATGACCTTTTTATCTCCTATTCTCTTTTCTTTGACTAACCGAACCGAGGTTAATAAAACCATTGATTTATTTATCGATTGATCGGTTGATTGATTCATGGTTCCGATAGTTAGTCGTGACGATGGAGATCATTTGCGGAGGTTTTTGGGTGTATATACCATAATGTGCAATTATCGTGTTTTTCATGTTCAAAGTCATTTTGGCACGATCACGGAAAACTCCGATGTGCAGCGATTGAGATTTTGTGAAGGAGAGTGAAAAGCCCTTTTAAAATCTCCGAAAGGCTAATAAACGTTCATGGAGAAGAAGCTTCGTCTTGCAGCACAGCGTGCAGATTCAGCAAGTCGCTTTCTCTTTCCGATCGCCTTCATTTCTGGGAGACACTCGACGACTGTCACGCCCGAAATAGTCCAGCCGGTTCGAAACCTCATCGAAGAATATCCTTTATCGACACCGGGGACGTTTCGGAGGCTGCAAAGGTCTCCACCACATCTTGCACCTTTCGAGCCTTTCCAAACTATTGATATTACTAAACTATTGATAATAATTAAGGCCTTCGAAACCTTAAGGCTTGGGACCGATCGTATGCACGACGTTTTCCCGGTGTTTTTCGAAAATCGCTGGTTAACCGATGTCTAAGGCCAAAAGCGGATTGTATGAACGCTTTCTTCCTTCAATCGATATCCAACCAAAGGTTAACAGGAGCTGGAAAAAGTGTCATTTCCAGACAAGGGATGGGACATGTTTTACCGATATTTATGTCAGCGCTCGTGTACCATCTCGATCGGTACATTAGTGCGGTGTACTGGTGAAGCACGATGTATTACAGGGTCGTGCAAAAGTTCCCGTACACTTTGAAAATTTAATTTTTTCACTAATCAACGGATTTTTGGCGATTCTGTTGTGTTTTTTTTTATTCTACGGACATTTTTAATACGAAACATTTTCATTATAGTAAATTTCAGTCTTTATTTGAATTTTTTTCTCTGGAGTTATGACGCCTAAAGAGAATCGAAGCGCTAATCGAAGTGTACGGGAACTTTAGCACAACCCTGTATCTCGATGAAGTGGCTCAATTTCAGCGGTGTGCTCGTCGTCGAATGGGACAAATATACTTTACATCAGTTCTAGTCTTAATCCTTTTGCAGAATATGATGATAACTTCCGCGCGAGATACCGATTTAGAAAGGCATCGGCGAACGATCTCGTGGACCTGCGTCGCCCTCGACTCGAAAGGAACGAAACTCGCGGAAGAGACCCCTTCACTATGCATCAATGGATCGGAGCAATCGCGGTTCGTGTGCGAGGAATCCTCATTTCTTCGCGTACTCACACTTCGAGTGATCGATCGATATGACCCAAAAAGCGAAAAGAATGTCGAGAAAGAAAGGTTCTGTCGACCCTTCGATCGGCTGTCGCATTCGAACGGAATGCCCAAGGAACTTTGATGAAGGCCACGAATGTCCAAGCAGCGAGCGATGCGAAACGGATCTTTGCTCACATTTTCGCTTCGTGACTGGGATGCACACACGATTCCCGGATATCATCATCATGCACTCACTAACAATGCCCCTATTTTTCCCGATTTCGTGCTCTCCGTGCGTAAAAAGGAATCCTTAGCGTTACCCCTGATGAAAAACATCGAAATACAAAGTAGGGTCGGTGAGAAGTTACCATATTTCAGGCACGATGGTTCTTTTGCCAGGAGTCTACATCATATCTCTCTCGCTTGACCAGAGAAGTAATTTATCGCCAGAGGAAAAATTATTTTTCACTCGATCGTCCATTTTTCGCGGAGTCTGCAGCGTATCACGCGACGGCCGAGAAATCACAACGTGACATACGTATATACGCGAGGGACGCTCGACCATCGTCTAACCATTGCCTATGAAAACATGGGCTCGAGGATCGTTCATGCGATCGAAAGTAGGCAGCGGTTAATCGATATTTTAGTAGACGATGAGTCATTTCAACGATATCGACGATGAGTCGAAAATGAGCATCGCTCGTGCAATCGGCTCTTGATGTCTGCGCGCTGCCCTCACCTGAGTTCACGTCCGTGAACGGGAGTGACCGTGGATTAGAGAAGTATGCGATAGAAAATATGCGTCCGAAAAACTTGCGCAAATTTTCTCCTCTGCCACAGGAATATATATGGACCGGAAATTTGGGCCGGCTCCAAGAGGAACTAATGGGGCAAGAGAAAGTCCGGCAGCTTTCCCATCGCCCCTCGTATATCTTTGGTGCACCGATGGCCGCTTTCCCGGTCCGCACGTCGGTATCGGCTCCATCTTAGCAATACCTCCACGCGATGCCGATGTATGAAAATCGATCTGGGCTGCTGACATGCGAGACGCAGAGGCTCCATATCGAAAACGAAACAGGTTTTCAACGTTGCGAAAACGCACTCCCGTCGGGTACTCGATGCCCTGTCGCGTTACATCGATGTGACATCGGAGCGAGTCCTCTGGCAATCGTTCCAAGAAGCGTTCCCTCGATTAAAACGAGATGGAGCCCGTATTGCCGCCACGGCGAATCGTCTCTTCGTGCGACCGGAACAAGTCACCGGTACTTTCCGCACGATACTCGATCTTTTCCACGTACGACACCGTCGAAGACGAGGGAATTCGTGGATGCATTCCCCGAAAGAGGAAACCCGACTCGACGAGTCTAATAGATTCTCACCCCAAAGATGGAGGAAGGAGTAGAACGTATTACTTTGCGGAACGAAGCATCGGGCAAAAAAATATCCCACCTCTCCCTACCTCGGAGCACATAATCGGTAAGAGTAAATAAATCGTGTTCCTAAAGAATATCTCGTGGTGATACCCTCGAGTAGGGTGAGGGACGGTCCCCGATACCGATCGTCCGTCCCGCGTTCCGCAATCACACTCGAACTGCAAGGAATGTCCCGCACGACGAAAAGTTTTTTAAACAAATACGAGCTAATATACCGTAATTTGCACAATCGCCACACTCCACTCCCCTTTGGAATCTCTGCTCCAGGAGCCAACCGATTCACTCTCTTGCGTGAAATGTCGAAGGAATGAGAGTAGCCGTTCCGCCTCCGCACAAAGTTTAAGAAATCCTGCCGTAGGAGCAGACGAATGTGAGCTCTTTCATTTCCACGCGAGACAAGAGTGCCGGAATCGTTTTCGCACGAGAGAAGTGTAACGAAGGGGGCCTCACCCAAGTCGTTCCTCTCGATTCGATTCGTGTGTCTTTCGCCTCACACGTACCAGAGTTGGAAATCTGGAACGACTCGAAAGTCCTCGTCGAGCCGCGTGGAAACTATTTTGTCATTCGGCCGGTGGCGTCGTGCTGCGACACGCTGATGTTTCTCGACGGTGCTGCGAGGCTTAACGGAATCCAATACGCAGAGCGAAGTCGATTTTTCCGCTTCCGTGGTAGCGGGGGAACTGGAGCAGCGGTTCTCAAACTTTTTACGCTGCGCTCCCCATAGTGACCCTCGCTCGCTGTCGCGCCCCTCCTAGCGACCCTGGTTCGTCGCCACGGCTCCTTTCTCTCTGAGAGGCGTACGAGTGCACGGACGCTACATTCATCGAGCATTCAAGTTACAGCCCACAGGGACGCACGATTCATTTGTCATCCTCATTCGAATCGTAGGAAATCGCCGACGGAAACGTACACCCCTTGAATAAAGGAATCGAATTTAAAAGTCTGCCTGGAATTGCTTTCATTTAGTCTTGTACTCCGGGAGAAAGACCAGGAAGACCTGAAGGAATGTGACCTTTTTCTAGTAAAAATAATAGATAGATGAATAAAAATATTCCATAGTTTTTTTAATTGCTGACAGTAGTGGATAAAAAAACTCAGGACTTGTCGCGTCCCCCTAGGGACCCCCTCGCGCCCCCCAGTTTGAGAACCCCTGAACTAGAGGGAAGCGATTCGAGTCGCGTGCCCTCCGTTCCACGTTGCGGAATCACTTTTTCACTTGTAGGCAGTGAGAAGGACTTTTCCACACTTCTTCAAGAAACTCACAAAAAAAATAAATATCAATGCGGTCTCTTGTTATTATATGATGACAATCTGCTCAAAAAAAGAAAAACTTTAGCCGAAAGGGAGGGAGGTTTAATGCATGTCCCTTCGTTTCTTCCTCTCCCCACAGTTCACAGGCTACTTCCTTGGAAGTAGAGAATTTTATCGTATTTTTCCCGACCTTTCTCAGGTAACAAGGGAGAAAAAATCTTTCGTGAAAATCGGCAACCCACGCGTCGATTCCGATATTTCTTCGGCCAAAAAAAGAGACACATGCATAAATATGCATACTCGCCGGAAAGTATTAAAAAATATATGCTTTTGTAGACATTTTTAAAATATCAACGATCGCTTTCCCCGAAAAATGTGCTCCTATCTGGGTCTTATCCCCCGGTGACGCTGCAGGAAATATATATGCATTTGCATAAAAGACCGCACCCTAATGATTATAGATTACCAGAACCTTCCGGGATTTTATTTAAGAAGAGGTTAGATCCCTTCATGGGGAAAAATAAAAAAAAGTGGTGCAGCTGTAACTACGCAGAAGATAGCTTAGATACGCACTCTCAAAAATATCCATCCTAAAGAAGGGTAGGACCATCACCTTTACTATGAACGCATGACTTTGACACGGGACGTGATAATGGGAATGCATGCCTCTCCGTGTTCCTATCTGAACCTTTTAATGACAGAGACGTGTCGATGAAAGCCATGTTCTCCGTCACATCTCCGAGCAGACGACTTTCGGAAATGTTTACCGGTGAATGGAGTGGCCGTTCAAATTATGTCTGCCCCCATAAGCATGCTCCAGTCCGTGCAGCATGAATATCTTCGGAATTCACTTGGAATGGGAGGGCCTGAAATCTATCTTGGAGTTTTCGGCCAGTGCCGTAGGTATTCTTCTTCTCACCTGTGTCGTGCTATTCTACTTTCTGGTCTCGTTCAAGCCCCGGTGTCGTACGGTGGGTCGGACTCGCGTTGCCATCCTTTACAAGGGCCGAGGTGAATCTGGCCTTGCAAAACGTACCTGGATGGGTGCTGTGCCTTGGTTCGCACCCGATGAAAGAGACAATAGGGCTTTCTTGTCCGTTTGTGAGGCTCGTCACGAGAACTCAGTCTTTCAGCAGAAGCGAGTCTTGTTGCTCACTGCACATCCCGACGACGAGTGCATGTTCTTTGGTCCGTGTATTCTTGACCTTCTCGAGAACGATACTCAAGTTTTTGTTCTCTGCTTCTCACCTGGTTCAGGTAAGTAAGACCTTGGAAAATATTTCAAGCCTAGGCCTATGATGTCCCTTGGCCTCAACAAAACAAAGTTACGAATTAAGAATAAACCACGAGCATTACTGGTTAAAGCATGAGAAGGAAATTTGGGACTTGGCTGGCCACTTCCATTTTTTCTGGATGTGTTCTATATTTGCCTCTGTTTTGCAAATCTGTATTCAACATAGAAAGTTCATGTATATCTCAAGAGGACTCATTTTGAACTGTAATTTCAACAAAGTCTTGGATTTGTTCTGTGCTTTAACCCTTCAAGTTCTGAGTTTTGACCTGACCTCCTGAATGATGAATGTATGGTGTACGTGAAAACTGTTTGAGGGGTTAATAGCAAATTTTATTTTGGATGACAAGTATTTCTGCTGATGAAATGATGGGGAGGGGGGTTAGCAAAGTCTGGATTAACCCATGTGTGGTATTATGTGGGAGTGTCCTACTTCAGAGATCAGGAAAATCTCTGCCTGCCAATGGTTCCAGGCAATCCTTATTTTCCCCTTGTGCTTTTTATTGACACTGTGTTGTAGTCACCCAGTTTAGGACATGAAATGCTGGAGTAAACTGAAGCATTGGAATTGCTATATTGTTTCAGGAGGACTGCAAAAAGTGAGAAAATATGAACTCCTTGACAGCTGTGAGACACTTGGAATCCCCAGGGAGAATGTTTTCTTACTCAAGTGAGTATTGATATCATAAAGCCTTTGATACCAACAAAGCATAATAAGATGACTAAGTTTCATATTGCTTCCTTTTACCAGTTTTACACACTTGCCAGACAATCCCTCTTTAGACTGGAAACCATCACTCATTGCTGGGCTTGTGCTTTATCACATCGAGATGCTCAGTTGTGATGCTGTGGGTTTTTTTCCACTCCTAGTTATTAGGATTAAATTCTGGATTCTGACCAAGGTATATGTGGGCTTCACAGGTGGTGACCTTTGATAACACTGGAATTTCAGGTCATGTCAATCATCGGGCTCTCTACCTGGGAGTCAAGATGCTACTCTGCACTCGTTCTGTCCCTGCATGTGAGGCAGTGCTCCTCCTTCTCTACTCCATTCATCACTTGTCCTGATTAAATGGTGGCATTTGACAATATATTTTCATTTCCTGCAGATTGCAGTGTGTTTGTTCTGGAAGGGGTGAGTGTGATGCGCAAGTACCTGCTAGGATACATGGATGTTCCTATCTCATACATGAAAGCATCTCATGCCTGCCTTGCCTCACCATCACAGCGCAACCAGATCCAAGTAAGTGTTTGGGCAGGGGCTCAAGGCAATATTTGCTTGCACACACACCTAGAGGCATTGAAGTCTGGATTTTACTAATATATATGTGCCTATTATTATTTATATATGCCGGGGGTGGCCAAAGTTTGGCTCACAAGCCGCATGCAGCAAACAAAGTGCCTTAGAAAACATCCATTCTGGCCACCCTTGATATATGTTAAACTTTATGCAGTGAGCATTTCCATCTAAACAGAGCATGTCAGCAGAGAATTTCAAATTTTGCCATATTCAAAGAGCATGGAATCTTCCTTTCCACACCTATAGAAAGGGATTTTCCATGCTCTTCAAATATAGTAAAATTATAATTTTTCCACATAAATGCTGTGTTCATATATGGCGAAATTCATGTTTCTCCACTTTCATACTCTGAATTTGGAAAAGTTTGGCATTAATAACATACATGCACATTTGTAGTTTTGTGCCTGTCATTGCTCCATATCTCAGCCTGAATTTTGAATCCCTCCTACATTGTCTAGTTCATCCTTTTTCTTTTTGCTTTTCAGCTCTATATCTGGTTTAGTGATGTCTTTAATCCCAGAAACTAGAAAGCTATGATTGTATAAAACATAAGATTTTGTTCATGTATGAAGAAGTTAAGATTCCAACTTTAGACCTGGCATCCAATGGACATTACATTAACATTGTGTCTATGGCAATTTCTTACGATTCTTGTGACTTCGTGCTCTATATTACGTTACAATGGGCACAATCATGCAATGGCTCAGTTCCATCAGAGGCCTTCTTTCACCCATTAGTTTTGTAACTTCAGTTATTTAATTAAATGTATAATATATCATGTATGGTATGATATGGTAAATTTATACAAAGTATAAAAACTACACATGAAGCATGAAATTTTCAATTACAATCATGAAAGAGCTCAAAAATGCAAAAAAGGATATTATTACGATAGTGGCCTTAATTCAGGTCTGAAAGTGTTAAGACACTGTAGCTAATGGAGGTACAGTTATTATTACTCATGACTTTGTAGCCAATGCCTGCTTCCATCACATACTATACTGGTTTTTCTCAATACCATACCCTGATTGTTGACATTCTTCTCAGAGGAGAAGATAAATTCAATACCCAATAAAGTTTGTCTTAGCCTTGTGAAAGTTGGCAAGATTAGGTCTACATTGACATCCATTTGAGGAAGTATCTGAGGTATGAGGAATGAAATGAGGATAAACAACATAGCAGTCATAGCTTGACTGAAAGCAGAGAGATGGCAACCTGGTGGAGCTGCCCCCTTACTTCTCTGATGAAGCTCCCAAATTCCATATTTATTCCATAAATATAAGGAAAGGAATCACTGTAAAACAGTCATAGCTAGGGGGTTTCGAATTATGCCAGTATCTGTATAAGGCCCTGCAATTCATTAATTTGATGTTGATAAATTCATCAAGAAGAACCTTTCTGAGCATTTTGGCATGCTTTCAGCATTATGAGGAGGTGCATGAAAAGGTCTTCAAAAGTTTATGAAAATTAGGCACACCTCATGTGGTAGTGGTTGATAATAGGTGACCTGCAGAAGCCCTCCCATTGGTCCAAAAAGGCCTGGCACATTTAATCACACATTACAGTCTGACAGATGTTTGGCTAAATGTTTGACAATAGATGTTCATTAAGATTAAAATTTTAATGACACTTGATAGATAGCCCTTGAACTGCAACATCCTGCCATCCAGGCCCCTGTGAGGTTCAGTTGCCAACCCCTTCAGAATCTAAAGTCAAATTAGGTATATAGTACAGCAAAAAAATATAGGGAGATCTTAGTTTCCTTTTTATTAAAACTTAAATATTGCAATCTGGACTCTCCCATATGTATACGGCCGTTCCGAGATGCTTTGGACTATGGTGTCTTCCTCCTTTCCTTGCTCTACAAAGGGAATGAGGGGACTGTTTCTCAATAGCTGTCAGGAACTGACTTAGAGCTCTGGTAAAAGGTTTTTTTCTACTTCCACAATTCCAGGAATACAGGGTGTTCAAAAAGAAATGCAACCCATGAAGAATACGTGTTTATAAGTAAATTACAAAAATTGTTGAATATGTTGGCCATTATGGTTTGCGCATCAGTGTAAACGACAAATCATGTTATTGAACACTCCAACGAGGTGCAGGAAGTGTGGGCAGTTGTGTTGTCCTGTTGAAACCATGTTTTAGGGTTTCAATGTACAGTAGACAGCATATCCAAAGAAACATTGAAACAAGTGTTCAGTAACATGATTCATCGTTTACACTGATGCACAAACCATAATGGCCAACACATTCAACAATTTTTGTAATTTACTAATAAACATGCATTCTCCATGGGTTGCATTTCTTTTTGAACACCCTGTATAACACCCATCTTGGGTATTATTTTAGCAAGCAACCTGGCTTTCTCATGTTACAGCTTTGACATTTTAACTATGCTTTGCTTTGAAGAGTCTAAAGCTTGGGGGAAATTACCTATGATTAAAAAAAGAGATCTCTGCCCTGTGCTGAACCTGGGTAACATTATATTGGCAATGGTGGAGAGTCACAGTAAATGTTGATGAATAATTTCATTTTTTTATTATTGTGCCTTGAGACCTTAAAATAGGAGCAGCATTTTGTTGCTAGACTGCATAGGCTAAATGTGCAAGCCTGGTGCCATAGAAAACTTCTACTACTGATCACAGATCATTTTATCCTTAAATGCTGGATGCACTTCTTTTCTCAATGAGGTGGGGTAAAGCATTCTTAAAGCTAAAGCATTCTTTATCACCTCATTGATGCTCATCCCATCAGGAAAGCAGCAACCTCTTAATGGTTCTCTTGCAAGAAACAGGTGCCCCTCACTTGATTGTGAGATCAGGGAATAAAGTTGATGTGGAAAAATCTCCTTCCTTCTTGCCACATGACCATGCATTGTCATGGAAGAGGCTTACTGGTACTTCTTGTGCTCTTTTCTGCCTATTGTATCCCCCTATCATTGTACAGTTTTGAATGACAACTACTACCAGCCAGTTCTGAGGAAGAAATGTCTACTCATACGTCTGCAAGCAGTGCCTAGAAAATTTATTAAGAAAATTAATTTTAATGCTTGTCCATCATACAGGAAAAGCAAGTACTTTTGCTTGATATTAGTGCATCAGTGAGATGCATGAGAAAGTTATAATTTTGAATAAATACAATTGCAAGGGTGTTAACCTATAACTATTTACTGTTGCAATTAGTTTGAGCTCAAATTTTCAGCTGTTGTTACCAATAATTCCAAGCTTGAATACTCTCATTACAGTGGTCAGGTTTTTTTGCAAAGCAAAGCACCAGGTTGCCATTGGCTTGACCTACTTTTTCTATACTCCCCAATTGCAGAAGTTCCTTTTTATGATGGAAATTGTACAGGTCACCTGTTTAGGCAAAAGATAAGTGTTTTACATTACATTGACATGGGTTTTTGTAATGAGAATCTCATATCTCACACATGTGCCTTGGGATTTGCAAGAGATTCCTTAATTGTTTCAGTGCCATTGGGTTGATGGCACCTACTGGCCATTGGCCCAATGGCTCTGAAAGTTAAGTAGCATTTTGTGTTTTTCTCAAAATATGGGAATATGAATGTTCCTCCTGGCCCCCAAAACCATCCTAGATCTACAGGGTGCTAGCATTCTCCTTCCACCACCACCTCTGGACCATAATGGAGGACCTCCACACTGCATATGATGCAGCTATTTGTGTGTTGTGTTGAATATCTACTTTTGGCACCATGGAGGGTCAGTGTAAACAAACAAATCATTGGAATCATGAAACCTCTTTGAGTTCTCTTTCTTTTGGCACAAAGCCATTGTTCCAACCCAAATAGTGCAGAAGTTATTGCAAGTTTAATAGGGAGTTACTTTCCAACCACCCAGTATAGTGCCAAAATTGCTTTTTGCTTTAAGGCATATAATCTATGGTGGAATGGTATGTAATGAACAATGACAATGAATCATGCACATTTTTAATTCCAGAGGGCTATGCATTGCCATAAGAGCCAGTTGGTGTGGTATAGATACCTGTACCTCATGTTCAGCCGTTATCTCTACATCAACACTTTTAAACATTACCCTCTCACTGAGAATGCCAATGGAGAGACACTGAGGCGTTCAAGAGTGAAAAATGATTGATTCACTTCCAAGATGCAGAGAAACTGTTTTTTTTTTGTCTCAATGGATTTGGCTGCTTCCATCTTCCCAGATGTGCTGGTGCATGCAAGTTTCCTGAGAGGAATTTTCATCTGTGATTGTGAATGTCATATTGCCTTTTGGGGGGAAAAACTCTGCATGACCATCTGTGATGAACCTTTGACCAGGCAATTTGTTTTCATAACCATGTGTATGAAATAAACAAGTCCTGTTTAAGGCCTTAAAAAGTCTTTTTATTTAATAAGAATTCTCAAGCACATCATAGAACAAAAGGGAATATGGCAGAAATGAAAAACCAGACACTATCACTCATATTGCACAAAGTTTCAGTAGTAGATGAGTTTCATATTTTTGTGATTCTGTAGTGTTACTCAAATTTGATTCCTTGAGCCAAGGGCAGTTCCTTGCTGTAGTTGATGGTGCAGGTTGAACGACGCATGTACTGTTTCCAGGAGTCTGATCCACTCTCTCGACCTCCACCTATCACCAAAATTAGTATCTTTCATAAGCAATTATCTAAGAGAATATACAAGAAATTATTTAGCCACAAGGAAATTAGGTCAAAAAGTCATTTCCATAACTTTTTTTTAGTCCTGGTGTCCATAATTCTGTACATTTTGATTTTTGTATTTTACTCAATACATGAGGGGTGGCTGGAAAGTTCCCAGCCTGAGTAGGAAGGAGTTGGGCTATGGGAGTGTTGTATATATATATATATATATATATATATATATATAAATATATATACATTGTAGCTTAACATCTTTTGCACTTAAGCCCTCCAGAAAAAGGTATGGAATCACGGCCTGGAGCTCAAATTTCTCCATGTCAACTGACAGCTATGCACTCGCACTCATGATGACTTGAAAATGAACCACTGAGAGTATTGTCATGAAACTGTTAAACATAATCATAAGATGTTAAGCCATGATGCATATAAACGACACTCCCCTTGCCCACCCCCTTCCTACTCAGGCCAGGAGCTTTTCAGCCACTCCTTGTATATTTATTGGAGGGAATAATCCAGTTTTCAATATGTAGACATGCAAAGGAAAACAGACCAACTACTAGCAATGGGTTCAGAGACACTCTTCTTAGTGGTGCAGTCAATTTCAAAAGTTTGTTTTGGCTTGGGGCATAAATAAATTTCAGACATAAAACCTCATCAAAGACCAGTATGTAACAAGAAGCTTCTGTCTAAAGTGACTCATTTTGCAAAAATAGAAAATCCATCCAGTCATCAATTGCAAGTTGACTGCAGGTGTCCAAGGGAAATATCAGCAGGATCATCTGTCAGGATCTCAAAATGGAAGGAAAACACAAACAACAAAATCCATGTCCTCAGCACAAAACACATCAGGGAGAAGAAGACGCCAGAAAGTTACGCTAGTGCCACCTGGCTGAGGAGAGGTACAAGTACATTATGATGCTCCATGAAGCTAGATTGTTCCTTTCTGTTTGTGGAAAGAACCTGTCCACTTACTGCTGGACAATCAAGGTTTTTGTTATCCGAACAGGACTTAGATTCTGTGTATTTGAGTTGATAGAACATGCCCTTGGGAGTCAGTGCCACAAAACTGGTGGGCTTTGAAAAGTTGTCAGAGGAATGGGAGAACCTGGATATCTCTCTACTTTGTGAAGCTCTGACAGTATAGAAATTAAGGTGCTGAGCTATTCTTTAGAATCAAGGACAGCAGAAGTAGCATGGTAATTTCTGGAAGAAGTAAAACTTTTCAGATTTGAAAATAAAATTTTCAAAGAAAGCTGGGCAACCTGTACCTCCTAATTTTTTCCTTATAACAAACATTTCAAGAAGAAAACAGCTTTGGGCTTCTTTTATGTCATGGGTACTTTTTACTCCTTTCCAAGCATTATATATAGTTTTAGATATTTTTGCCTGTTCTAGTTTCATTTTATGCAGCTGACCTGTGTGTTTCTCTCCTCCAAAAGCACCACCGATCTCAGCTCCACTTGTTGGAATGTTGACATTCACGATCCCACAATCTGATCCCTTTGGACCAATCCACTACAGAAATGACAAGTCTAGTAAATCAAGAGTTAAAACATGACATTAATAAGAAAGAGGATGAAGTTAAACCTTGAAAAGATTTCCAATGCTCTGGGTGAAAAGACTGGAGGAAAGGCCCTGTTGGACCTCATTGTTCCAGCAGATTCCCTCATCCATGTTCTTGCACTTAAGTGCATACACAATTGGAGCAAATGTTTCTCGCAGCACCAGAGGGGAATTGTGACTTAGACCTGTTATGATGGTTGGCTCAACAAAATTCCCCTCCTTCCCTGGCACCACCTATGAAAAACAAAGAATAAGAGATACAAAATAGGTAAGGCTGGAAGACTATTTGTATAAATACAAAGACATAATTACAGGCACCAGAACCTGCATATGATAAATTGGGTTTGAAGAGAAAAAAATGAATGAACAGACTCACCTTCCCACCACACTCAATAGTTCCACCAGATGTCTTAGCCTCCTGAATAGCTGCCAAATACATTTGCACTCCTGGTTTAGTGTGCAAAGGTCCAAGCAGCACATCTTCATTCAATGGATCCCCAATCCTGCTCATCAACTGCTGGTAAGCTGCCTTTAGGCGTTGTACTACTTCATCATGAACCTGCACCACATCATCCATTAGGCACAACATTTGAAAATAATCATACATTGAGCAAGAAATGAGAGCCTAGAAATTTTTTCTGGAAACATTTTCCTGCTGTGATGATTCAAGATGATTCCTAGGCTATTGTTGATGGGAAGGTTTAACCAACAATTCAACAAATCAAAGCTGGAGATGATGCCATCATGTGTTTCGTACAAAGACGTGTCAGTTAGTCTTAAATTTAAATAGCATGGGAGGGAGGGGGCAATCAGGGTCTGCTAAGCCAAGCTCTGGGTTTTCCATACAGACCTATATAGCTATAACTTGGGAAGAACCTTTACACACCTTGAGGACCCATAATATACAGGGTGGGTAAAAAAAACAAAGCTGTCATTTTTGATGAGTCGTCAATCTCTTTGTAGGCTGCCAATTTTAATTTAAATTGGTAGACTTATAGGGTGACAAAATTGAAGTTTGTATACCAAGTTTCAGCTTTATGGCTCTAAAATTATAAGAGCTGTAACTATTTTCTGATGACCAACAACAAAATGTACTGTCAAAAATATAAATATGAACTTGAGGCTGGGATGAAAAGGAGGTACAAATTCATGAACTTTTATCCCTGCATGATGCTACAAAGGAAGATTGGGAGGCACTACCTCAAAGGTTTATTGACCAGGCCATTGATCTGTGGGTCCCAGACTAGAGTTCAATAGAATGGAGGGCACACTGAGCACCTTTTCAGTTGAAAAGAACGTCTCTAAACCAAATTGTGGGTCTTCGTGTTTGGCATTTGAGCATTTGTTTTTGTTTTGCATGTTTGCTTGTTTGTTTTTGTAAGTTGTGAAAGATTTTAAGCTGAAAGAAAAATGAACACTTACTTTTTCGGTGATGAAATGTAAATTAAATGCCAATCTCAGTTTTTTACATTTTTATTTGAAACTTGGCACACAATCCCTAATTGAGTCCCCCTATGTATCTACCAAATTTCATCAAAATTGGCAACATATAATCAGATTCACAACTTACCAAAAATGATAGCTGTTTTTTTTGTCCACCCTGTAGATTTCAGCCTGAATGAGCTCAACATCCCAATGTAGAGCATCCCCAAAGTCTGGACTCGTACAAATTACTATTACATACACAAATGACATAATTTCCATAAATTTACTTAGCGATTTCAAAATCTGCTGCAATCTGATGTTGGCTGCAATAGTGCAATGGATTATAATCAGCACCAAGATCACCAAATCTCACACCCCTGTATGTCTTTCTCTGGAGTCATGTTAAATGTGCTACCTATAAATGGAAACATATTCAATGACCTCAAAATGTTCAGACAGGATGTTTTTAATCAAATTTCCAAGGGCATGATTTAAAAGGAATAGCTAATAGCAACTTTCACAAGAGACTTCAAGGTATTGGTGAGAGTGGTGAACACTATAAATACTTCTGTAAAGTCATGGTTATATAAGAGTTCAAGGGTGGGTGGGTGGTTTGGTTGGCAGCTAGCTGGTGGCATGAACCTGGGTTAAAAGCTAACCAAGTCAGACATTTATTTCTATGTACAAGCCCAAGCATGCTTGGGAAAGATTCTCAAGTGCATAGCATTCCTGCATCTAAATGTGGGGTATTCAAAAACCCATATCCAAGGTCAAACCTGGGTAATGTATCCCAGGAGTGCAAGTTCAAAATGCCTCAATTAAATTTACAACAAAGAATCTTAATCATTGAGGTGCATATCAAAACTCAATAATATTGACACAGCATGCATTCAGAAAGGAGTTTCCAAGATGTGAGGTGCCAACAGCTGAGACAATACGACAAATTCTGACCAAACGGAAGGAAAAAGGGTCAGTATTTGCCAGATTGTCTCAGCTGTTGACAATCCAAGGGCCACAGGCCCTTGAACATGAGCCGAAATCTCAATTTGGCCCTTCATGGGGAAAAGGTTGTGCACCACTGGAGTATATAGACACAAGGGTAAAAAGGAGTAGCAAGGTCAGAGAGGGAAAAGTAAAGGACTATATTAAAGGTTTTCATGTATTTTGGGATACATGTCCCCTCTTCAGGGTGAGATGATGCATGTATGTATGTAGTATCCACAAACTGCAATCACTTGTACTGACTTGGTGAGTCTCCTCCATACATTTTCCTTCAGTCCCACCCTGTGCAATTCTTCCATGTGTAAAAAGACTTGGAAAGTTGATGCAGAGAAAGTTCTTGAAGTGATGCCATCTGGCATAGAAAATATTGAAATGAAAAGACTGCATAGAATAAGCAAAGGGAGAAAATTGCAGATTTTAGAGACCATATTGAAGAATACTCAAGAAAAATAACCTTTTCATGAAGAATAAGCCTTCTGGTCGTTGTACATCGCTGTCCAGCTGTGCCAGCACAGGCAAAGATGGCTGCACGCACCACCATGTCTAGGTTAGCATCTTGGTCAACTATAATGGCATTGTTCCCTCCTAGTTCCAGGAGTGTCTTCCCAAATCTCTCTGTTACTGCCAGAGCCACCTTTGCACCAATATCCACCACACTTCATCAAGTATATGCCAACATTTTGCTGAAGCCTGCTGAGACCCACCTTTTTGCCTACAGCAGTGCTCCCAGTGAAAGAGACAAGAGGGAGTCGATCATCCTTGGCAATTGCCTCTCCAATTTCTGATCCACCAGTCACCATGCTGCAGATGGCAGCTGGAAGCTTGTTAGCCTCAAAAACAGATGACACTATCTTGGTGACTGCAACAGAGGTCAGTGGAGTGGTTGGTGCCCCCTTCCAAATCATTGCATCTCCACACACCTATCAGAGAAGCATACAAGATACAAAAGTGAATGAGTAAGTAGAAAAGTGACATACAGATTCACAAGATTCTTATTCCTGAGAATCACAAGAGGTAAAAATCTTTCTTTAACCCATTGGCATTGACACTATTCAGTTGCAAAGGTTCTTCACTGCCTTTCCTCTTTCTAATAGAGTTGCTTAAATTGAGCATTCTGTTTAACATGCACATTTACAATAAAGATTCTTACCTTCTGAGAAAAAATTGAGAGAATCCTTGATATTGTCTACTTACTAATGCAATGGCATTGTTCCATCCAAAGACAGCAGCAGGGAAATTAAAGGCGGTGATGATTCCAATGACACCAAGGGGATTCCACATCTCTATGAGAGCATGACCTGGCCTCTCAGAAGGGAAAACCTTCCCATCGAACATGCGAGACAGGCCAACAGCATAGTCACATACATCTATGTATTCCTGGACCTCTCCTATACCCTCTGGAAGGATCTTTCCTGCAAGAAATAGCAAAACCTAATGTTTAGAGAAGCCAATATTCAAGTATGTTCCAATCATCACAATAGGGATATCTATACCCATTTCAAGAGAGACAAGCTTTCCCAGAGCCATTTTCTTCTCCCTGAGTGCATCACCAATCTGACGGACGATCTCCCCACGTTGAGGTGCTGGGAGATCAGCCCAAATCTCCCATGCATGTCTGACTTCCTCTACAGTTGCATTGTAATCTGCGACAGAACCCTGCTTCACATCTGCTATGGGCCTGTTATTTGCAGGGCAGATTGAAGTTGTCACCTGTGTGGATTTAAAATGAGATATGCTTAACTAGGCCTACGAGCCTCTCATTAGGCCCATCATACACTCAAGAAGGCCATACAAAAAGCAACTTAAACATGGATAGGATTTTGAGCAAGCAGCCCAGCCCCAAATGAGTTGCACATAGTCTATCGTGCAAGGAGAGGGAAGATAACAATTTTAAGCGACGTGACGAAGGGCTAATAACTAAGACTTACCTCTCCTGATCCAGTCCATTTGCCATTGAACACTCCAAGGTTGGATTTTTGGATCCCTAATTCTTTCAGGAAGGAATACTTGGGTTCTTCGATGAGGTAGCCAGACATGCTTCGGAGAGCAAAAAGTAGTCCGTCGTGTCGCCTCGTCGCGCTCCCACAGCCTGACTGCAAGTGTCGAGCGGAATTAATCACCCAAGGTCGTCGGGACAGAACCCTGGAAGCCATTGCCTTCCTTCGCCTACAACAGGACACCACGTGGTCTCAACGTGCTTCGCTTCACGATGTGGCGCCCACTGCCGTGATAAGCAGAACCCAAGTACAGTATGTCTCCCTCACTGAGCTCAAATACAGGGTATCCATAAAGGTATAGCCAGGACCGCCCAGAGGTTTCCAGGGGTCCGGGGCAAAACTAAACCGGAGACCCCCTTGGGGGCCCCCTTGAGGCCCTTTGAAGGTCCCACTTGGGACCCCTTGATACGTGGGGCCCGGGGCAGATTGCCCCAATTGCCCCCCCCCCCCCTCTGAGCGGCCCTGGGTATGACTCAAAATTAATCTGTCATGATAGCCATGATAGCAAATCAATCAGCAGTCATGATAGCAAATTACTTTATTGCCATGAAACTTCCATGCATAAACTCACTACCTATACATTTCTTGTGGTAAGGTCATTTGTCAGAAATATCCATGTCAGTCCTCCATGTGTCCACCTTCTCGTTGACGACACAATTCCCAGCGTTACGAGAGTGCCACCCACGCGTTCGCTAACATTTCCAGCGTGATGCTGGTGAATGCAACCTGTATCACCTCACATCACGCAGTCTCTTGGCATACACCTTCTCTTTGATATAACCCCGTACGGGAGTTTCAAATAAAGACATAATTCATGGTATCAAATATGGCCATACCTGGGCTCTTTATTTGAAACATGCATGACCAGGGCCGGCCTTAGGGATGCGCCACATGTGCCCCCGCACTAGGCGCAAATTCATCAGGGGCGTTAAAACGCGACTGAATGTATGACGCAATAATTGATGCCACCCTCAGCTTAACTTCAGAAAGTGGAAATGCCTTCCGTTTCAGCATCATTTCGAACGCTAGGGATAAACCCTTCTCCCTTCCGGAGGGGGCGGGCGGCAGTGGGAGTCAGGGCTCTGGGCGCCGAAATAGCTAGGGCTGGCCCTGTGTATGACACAAATATGTCCAAAGCATGATATGTTCATATCATATAATGTTTTGGCCATATGAAGCCCCTAAACTCCTTCCAGCCAAGTTTGGAGCATATAGAGTAAAATATGTCCAAATAAAACCTATACATACGACTGTATGTGGTAGTTCCGTAAGGGACCCCAGTCGTAGTCCATAGGGGTGAGATCGGTAGAGTTCACTGGCCAGGGAATTAGGCCTCTCGTCCATGCCACCTGTCTGGGAATGTCCGTGTCAGGTATTCATGCATCATCTGTGACCAATGTGGCGGTGCTCCATCGTGCTGGAAATGTTATCGAACACGTGGGCGACATTCTCATATCGCTGGGAAACGTGTCGTCAGCGAGACGTTGGACGTGTGGAGGCATATTTCTGTCGTAATTAATATGGTGGAAGTCGTAAGTGTGACGTGGATGGAAAATGGGAAGGGAGAGGGGGGAGGGGGGCGCCATGGGAACTCTAGGACTCTGTTCTGCATTTCATACGCCTTTTACCTCTAACTGTTGCTCCTTTTGAAAAGTGGGAGGGCATACACCCTCTTTAACCCCCTCCTCCTCGACGACATCCCTTACATTGTAAGACTTACAGGGATCAAATCTATCCCAATTCAATCCGAAAACTGTATAGGTTTGCAATGTTATGTACAGTGTTTTCGGATTGAATTATATTGATTTGCAGATAATCCTCCAGGTGTTAGATCAGCTGCCCTGCAAAGTTCTTGGATGGTCGGTGATGATTACGCTTTTGGGATTACCATATAGAAGAAAATACGCTTTTATTATCTGACAAATAAAATAAGCATAATAAAAAATGGAAGGAATTTTATGATTTTCAGAATGTTGTTCTTTTTTGGTAAAATGGTGTCCCATCTTCAAACTTTATTGCACACCGTCGAACATCGTCTGCGGAAAGACAACTGGAGCTCGCTGGCCCCTCGGTAGGGAAAATATCCGTGATTCGTGACATCTCGCGCTAAGTAGCGCAGCGTTTCGGATGATATTCGGCAATTTATCTCCGAAAAAATCGGGATGGCCGCATGCATCGAATGCCTTTTCGTGTCCCTGTGTTCAGCTCTTTCAAAAAACGTTCGATCTCGGAGAGAAAGGATCCTTTACTGCAGACAGGAGAGATGAGGTAAAAACGTTGCCAGTTCCAAGTGCGAAACTTTCGGCTCCACCTCTAGCGGCTCCGGCTAGCCGCTATATTTCCCCTTTTCCTGTCATCTTCAAATGACCTTTGTTTCTTGCTCTCGTTTCTCCGTTTCTACTAATTCCTCTTTCTACTTCCTTATCTAGTTGACTCCTGTTTGTCGTCGGGAACCTGGATGTCCTTGACAAAAATAACGATTCAAGAGGAGATATAAGATGATGTAGGAGATTTCAAACCCAGGTAATCGTGAAGGGCTCCACAGATCAGGAATCAGAGCCCCACGAAGTATTCTACTAAATACTTGACTTTTCATCTGCAAGGTGTCCTGCCTTCACTTCATGGAAGCGCTTTCTTGAGGGGAGTTGGGTACCAATTCAATGCAAAAACTGTGTACTGCTGTCTTCATGGCTGCTAGCACCTCTTCGATGTCATCGAAACGGTGAACCTTTAGTTGAAACCCAAAGCACGGAAAGAGAATGAGGTTATGCGTAACCAGACCTGTCGAGTCTGGATTCGCGACCTTTTGCGGGATTTTCCCTGGATGGATTGGGAAGGGAAAATCCAGTCCAGAAACTCTTAGGAAGTTTCTCGTACATCAACAGCGTTTCGAAGGATTGGGAGGCTCTGTCGTTTAGGTCTACGAGGTAATATAGAATTAGCCAAGTCCATTTTAGGTAGTGGGCCTTCTCTCAATGATTGTTGGGAATTTTGAGTTATCGTCAGGCAACGAAAGTAGGAACAGGCTAAAAATGATACAGACACCCTAAATGTAGCCTTTATCTTTTCTAGAATGAATTATAAAATATTTTTAATAATAAATAAATAAGAGCCCCCCCCCCCCCCCCCCCCCCCCCCCCCCCCCCACCAAAAAAATTTTTTAAAAAAAAAAAAAAAAAGCCCCCCCCCCCCCCCCCCCCCCCTGGCACCGTGTCATAGCAGGCAGGCGAGGGCGTTGTCCATCATCGGCTCATTTCAAAATGCAGTTCGGTTCCAGTTTCAGTTAGGAATTCTTTGTGAAAGAAGCCAACAAGATCACAGTGGAACTTCAATATGACCAGCATATGCTGAAGCTAGAACTGGATTGCAATTGAACTGCCGTTTTTTAAGTCAGTCATCGATCTGCTTGACGCGAAACGGGCAGACGAGGGCGTTGTCCATCGTAGACCTACCTTATCTCTTCAAAATGGCATCGTGACCGTCTCGCATCATTCGCTTGTAGTTAAACTTGATTCACGATCGCGTTCATTACCTCTGCCTCAGGGGAGATTCCTCATTCAGTAAATCCTATAACATTACTTCCCCTCCCCCCTACAACAATACGCAAAAGTTAAAGGTAAAATCTAACCAGATGGAGGCTCTTCCTTGGAGGAGGTGGAACATGATTGCATGAACGATGTTCATTTTAAACATTGATTATCGATAGTCATAGTTTAAACTTTAAACATTGTCTACGAAAATATCGGTTAACTGCAGTTTATTTTCGAGTGCGTGAACGATCCCAATGTCATGTTTCATCGCCGATGGTTAGACGATGGCTAACGTCCCTCATGATACAGGGTGATCATTTTATTTCAGACACATTTAAATATGAAATATCTTAACTAATAGTTACATTTCAACCATTATTTTACTGTTGACTCATTCAGAGGAGTTTTACTCATCGCTAACAGAAACAACATCGCATAGGAGTCGTCGATTTTTTTTTCTCAATTTCTATTGTAACTCAGGCGCAGCGAGATTTAAAGCGTTATTTTCATGCGCAAATTGTTCCACCTCGTAACGCCGTTCTGTTGAAAATGGTCTTCATCGCTCATGAAGATGGAATTTAAAATATTAAAATTATTTTTAGGGTTGGGCTTGATAAGAAAAAACCTTGGCAATAAAAAAAACACAAGATCTTGTCAAGGTCCTTCCCTTTGGGGTGCCGAGGGAGAACATGGTTGGACAGATAAAATGAGGGGAGGAAAAACCTAACAAATAAATCAATATTCAAAAGTTTATCGACACTTGACTGGGCGTTAAGGGTGGAGGACATCTTATCGAAACTTGGCAAGAAACGAAATTCAAGATCTTGACGAGCGTCTTGCTCGAAACCCTTCCCTAATTATTTTCAATGTCGTCCATGAGCCACCGACGCAGTTCCACACGCTTTTATGAATCTTCTTGGTTTAGGCGTTGGTAGACTTGCAGCTCGTAGGGATGCAGACGGAGTTCCTTTTTCAGAATCTTTGCAGCAGATCCGTAGCTGATGTCAAACTCACTAGAAAGTCTTCGCTCTGATTTTCTTGGGGATCTCTGGATGATCTCAGCAATAGCCTGCACTCTAACCGTAGTGCATACACTGCGGCGACGCATCAGTTTTTGCCTTCAACATCGCCATCAGTTCACTTGGTTCACTTATCGCCGAGTAGCGTTACGAGATGGAGCGATTTTCACATGGAAATGGCGCTTAAAATCTTGTTGTGCCTGAGTTACAATGGAAATCGAGAAGAAAAAAATTATGACTTTTATGAGATGTTTCCGCCAGTGATCCATGGTGGGTAAAACTCCCTCGAATGGGTTTTAAAAAAAATTTGGGGGGTGGGGAAATTGCTGAAATGTCACCTTTAGTTATTAAGCTATTTCAATTTTAAATGCGTCTGAAATAAAATTATCATTCTATATATAACATAGCATATTCTGACTTCTCGGCTCTCATGTAATACACTTCGGACTCCGCAAAAAACAGGCAATCGAGTGAAAGAGGAGAACCTTTCCTCTGACGATAAAGTACATATCGTAGAGCCTGTAAAGGGGAATCTCACGACAGAGAGACACGATGCACTCTCCTTGTACAGTACAAGAATAACTATGCCTGGAAGCTGGTGAATTCTCACAAGCCCTACTCTGTATTTCAATGTGTTCAATCAGAGGTAACCCCGAGGATTCGTTTTGCACACTCAGAGAAGTCAGAAAGGGGGAAAATACGAGGGTAGGTGCATCATTTGTGCGTAATGAGTGCACGGTGAGAATATCCGAGAATCGTGTGTGGATCCTAGTCACCCAGTGACAAAGTCAGTAAAAATCCCTTTCGCATCACACACTGCTTGGGCATCGATCGAATAGAAGCCATTGCGGTTGATAAAAGTCGGTTGGGCATTCTATTCGAATGACAGTCGTCACTGGCACCGATCATTCCTGGAAATCCAGCAATAACAAATAATCGTCTTCGAGCATCTACCCCAGGGGTGTGCAACCTTTATCGGCAGTGGGCCGTATGGAAATGACTCTTGACGCGGGCCACAGAATGCAAAAGATAAGGCTCCCCTCTTTCGTCCACAGGGCATATGAGGGCATAAGGTCGCGCTGATTGGCCGATGATCCTTACCTCCTCCCCACCCCTAGGAAATTCCAACGTCTAAAAATAGGCATTGAGAACTTTCTTCTTTGGGACATATGTAGCACCGCCCACGCAAAGAAAATTTAGAAGGAAGTGAAAGGACTCAGTATATTCATGTTACTAAGGGATGACCAAAGTTGTGATGGGCCTTCGGCCGCAAAGAAACTTATCTGTTATCCCATTATGCATTACCGGGCCGCGGGGTTGCACATCCTTGATCTACTCCAATCCTCCTCCTGGGAATGTAATGAGTTGGAGACGCAAACGAGCCATGGCCTGTGTCATTCGAATTCTTGGAATCGATGCCACATAAAATCAAAGGGGCAGCAGAGTCTGCAAATCGAAAGGCTTTCGTGACATTAATTTCACTTTCGGGTCATATTAAGTCATTATTCAGGGGATGGGTAAGTGAATAAATCAGGATTCATTGCATTCGAACCGTAATTGCTCTGATCTGTCGACGTAAAGTTAAGGGGTCCCTTCCGCGATTTTCGTTCCTTTCAAGTTCAGGGCGAAGCAGGTTGACGAGATCATTCAGACGATGACGAGATGACGAGACCTTTCCAAATCGGTATCTCACGCGGAAGTTCTCGTCGGCGTATTCTTCAAAGGGATGAAGTCTAGACCTGATATTTATTTGTCCCATGCGACGACGAGAGCACATCGCTGATATCGAGTCATTCCATTAAGATAATCCATTGTGCTTCACCAGTACACTGCAGCGCCATACTGATCGAGATTGTACACGAGCACTGGCGTAAATATTGACAAAAATTGTCTCATCCCTTGTCTGGAAACGAAACCTTTTTCAGCTTCTGTTAGCTGTCGGTTAGACAATGATTAAAGGAAGAAAGCGTTCATGCTGTCCATTTTTGACCTTAGACATCGTTTAACCGATGATTTTCGAAAAACCCCGGGAAAACATCGTTCGTGCAATCGGCCCGAAACGTTTTATGATGTTGACAACGAAATCAATGGGAAAGCTCGAAGGGAAGGGAAGCTCTGATGGGAATCTTGAAGTATGAATGAGAGAATGAATCAGAGATGGAAAGAACGAGCGAATCAATAGACGGAAGTCCAAAGTTAGATGGAAAAGGAAATTGGAAAACGCCGAGCGGAGATTTCTCTCTGCTGAGAGAAAATCGACGATTTCTCGTCCAATCTTAAACGGAATCTACGGGAGAAGGCATTTTTGCCCCTTGCGAAGCCGATTCCGGGACGAAATCCTCGAGGTGGTCATCTATGTATAGTACGTATGTGCGAGAGTGCTTCGCGTAATGGTCATAGTCGTTCGTACGCCTTCGAGAACGGGCCGAGTGAAGTTTGAACTACTGAATGAAGTCCTGTCTGCTTTCGCCGTGATATCCTCCCAAAAATGCGATGAGCGAAACGTTCCACGCAGAGGAGACTTCGCATGGAGGTGGAGGAGGATCGACTCTCTCGCATCGACTGCCGAAAACATACAAACTTGGCCGAGGTTCCCTCAGGCCCGAGTGCAGGGCTCGAGTGAAGGCATCTGGCAGACGGGAAGGGGACGGGAAAGCACCCCAGTCCCACCAAAATTCAGAAATTTTCACTCCCTTTTTCATTCTCATCCGAATTCTCTTTTCAGAACTGAAACTCAAGTTGATTTCTATTCGGCAGTTCGCTTCTAGTTTCAGTTCAGACTTAGGTCTGACTGAAGTTCCACTGTGCTCTCGTCGACTTCTATCACAAAGAAATCCCAATCGGAACTACGACTGAACTAGACCCGAAACTGAACTACTACTGAACTGCGACTGGACTGCATTTCTGAAATCAATAAACAGGCTGGTGAATTCTCGGTCGAGAGTAACATCGACGAAGAAACGCGACGATTCTGCGTTGAAATTGCGATCAGAGTCCATTACGAACGCTATCATATCTTCCTCGTGATCGTGATCATTCTTGGTCACATCTTTGGACGGTACGAGCTTTTTTTTTTTCGTGGGTCCACGAAGAAAGCGGTCGACGACGCATCGTCGCCCGATATCTCGATGCCAGTAAAAGAACGGCTTGGGATTTATTTTCCCACCTGGTCTGCGGCCCCCCGCCCAAATGATAGCGCGGTGACCTGCGTCGAGAATGTTTATTATTTTCATTCAACGTTCAACAAGAGATAGAGCCTCAATCGCGGCGGCAGAGGCAAGCACCGAATCCGGGATCGGATCGTGGTACCGGAAGTCAATTCGGATAACCGGGCCCTGATCACGGTCCGACATCGTTCCTGCAGGGGTGGAGGCGATTCCTTCACCCCCTCCAGCCAGACCATGAAAGTCGGATCGGAAGAGAGTTCCCTGGGGATGGAGCTCGGCTCCAGCCACGGCCACGCCTCCATCTTGAAGCCACCGCTGGTGACGATGAATCTCACCGCGTCCGCGTCCTCGTGTGCCAGTGCCCAGAATAAGGAATTTCGCCCCTGGTAGTCGCTCATGTCCGCTCGGGCGCCGCAGGACACCAGGTATCGCAGGATCTCGCCCCGATTCCGATGGTTCAAATACTTGGCGCACAGGTAGACGGGGCATTCGCACCAGCGCTGGGCGATGTCCAATTTAGCGCCGTGTTCCACGAGCAACTTCACCAGGTCCAGTCTCGACTCCTTCGTTGCCACCCACAGGGCGCTCTGGTTGTAGAAGTCCGTCTGGTTCGCATCCGCCCCGGATTTAAGCAGCACCTGCCATGCGTAGAAAATCCTTAAACGTAACGAAGCGTGAATAAAAATGAAATAATAAAAGGGAGGAGATACGAAATATTCGAAACGAGGACCTTGACGATGTCGGCGTAACTGAGCCTGCATGCCGACAAGAGAGGGGATTCGATTCTCTCGCTCCTGTCTTTGCTCTTCTCGTTGACATCTGCTCCGAACTTGACCAGCACCTGCGGGCACAGGCGTTCCTTCCAGCATCATCCCTTTCCCTCCCTCATCCAGCCGGCGATAGCGGCACGATGCGGGACCCTTTCACCCCGAGAGAGGAAGAGGGAAACGCGGCTTCACCCGACCGTTTCCTTTTCGGTGACGCTTCGGAAAACGACGTCGACGAAGCGAGTCGGAATCGGTCGCCGACCAACTAAGGTCGTTCGTGCCATCGAATCACCTAGTCGATTTTTCGATTGGTATCCGCAAAATCTCGAATCTCGCCGACGAGATATCTCCGAAAATTTTCTCGACGAACGGACGAACGAGAAGCCGAGTCCTTCGAATCGGAAGAAACCGAGAAAAATGGCGTCGTCGGCAAATTATATCCCTTTCGCATCGCGACGTTCTTCGTTTGCAACGTTCCTCGAGCCGTCTAAAATGTCCCGGGGCTGCGAGGTAAATGTCGGAGACGAACGGCAGCGACTCGGAAGAAATTTCACGCGGTAAAAATGCTTCTCGTTTTCGACTGACTCTCGTGTCGGTCCGATCGGATGCATGATAGGCACGAAACGATGGAAATCCTTCTGTGCAAAGGAGAGGAGAGATGAAAGATTCTATCGCGTCAGAGATGAAAGGAAGTCGAGAGGCACTCGCGAAGCAGGCGACCGTTCGGTCACCGCGGGCTCTGCGTGCAGTGCTCCGATCTCACTTCGACACTAGGGGCATTACCATTGGAAGTATTTAGACCAGGGGTGTCAAACATACGGCCCGCAGAGGTGGTTCATCCGGCCCGCCGTCTCGAAGACTTTAAAAGGCGTACCTAACTCACAGTCGTGTTTAAATTCACTTTAAAATACCCACGCCGGGCGTCCGTAGACCTCCCATTCCTTACGCCGGGCGGCACCGATTTGAGTTTGACACCCCTGATTTAGACGATACTCTCATTCGCCCGATTCCGTCTCATAACAACATTTCTACCAAGCGTAATCGCATGACTCCACCACGGCTTTTCGAGGATGAAAAAGTCATTTCCAGACTTTTTCAACAGCAAACTTCACAAAAAAGTATTTACCGATCGTTCGGCTTAACCGATGAATATTGTTAAACGCAAATGTAACCTATCCGGTAACAATGCTATACCTACCATTATGGCAGATTCCATCGCTCGACTCTGTGTAGTTTTTTAGATCTTTCCTGGAACTTGCATTTATACGTCTTCTTCTTAAGTGTTCTGCCTATTGACAGGTCCTGGGCATCCGTCTTTTCCATTCCAATCTGTTCTCAGTCCTCTTATTTCCACAAACGACCCTTCCTTTAGTTCCTCCAATATGCCAATTCTTTTCCTTCCTCTTGGTCTTTTCCCTTCCATTCTTCCTTTTACCACTTCCTTCAACAATCCTTCTCCGCGTAGAATGTGTCCAATCCAATTCTTCTTTCTTCTGGCAATCATTTCCACCAGTCCTCTTTTTTTTCCTCAAACAACTTCCAGCATCTCTTCGTTTGTTCTTCGATTTATCCAGCTTATTCGCTCCATCCTTCTCCACACCCACATTTCAAAAACTTCTAACCTGACGTCTTCCTTCCTCAGAGTCCACGTCTCCGACCCATATACAGTAAAGTCACACTCCACACCACTGCCTTCACTATCTATTTCTTCACCTCTTGGCTCCTCTTCTTTAACTCCTTTCTCTTGCTAAAAGCATCCTTTGCCATTCCTATTCTAGCTCTGATCTCTACCTCAAACTTTCTATCATCTGTGATCAAAGCTCCTAAGTACTTAAACTTTTTCACCCGTTCCACTTTCTGGCCATCGATCACGATGTTAACTATTCCTCCTCCTTTCCTAGAAATCTTCACCTTTGTCTTCTTCCCATTCATCTTCATATGAACTTCTTGACCACCGCGTTTAACACATCGATAAATTTCTGAGTCCTCGTGAGTGCTCGCCACCTTGCCTTGGTCATCTGCAAACCGTGTATCCTTCGACAGCTTTCCCCCGGCTTTCACACCTTCCTCAATCCCTCCAAAGCCGGAATCCCTTCCATCGGCTTCTCTGCATGAATCGAGAACAGAATCGGAGATAAAGAGCATCCTCGCCTAACTCCTCTGACAATCCCACATGGTTCCGATTCGCCATCTGCTACTCTAACTACTGCTTCCTGGTTTAAGTACAGCTTGCAGATTAATCTCCTGTCCCTCCGATTTCCTTCAGTATCTCCATCGTCTTTCACCCAGTTTACTCTGTCGAAAGCCTTCTCAAAATCCACAAAACATACAAACAGTTACTTCCCTTTGTTCAAGGTTCCTCTCACAAAGCATTCTTCTCACTCCAATTGCTTCCTTTGTCCCATATCCTTTTCTGAATCCAAACTGCGTCATTCCTATGAAGTCTGCTGCCTTTGCTCTACCCTTCTAGCCACCACTCTCGACATAATCTTAGATGCATGCGTTACCAAACTGATCGTCCATTTATGCGTACGTTCCAAAATATTTGGGACGTTTGGAAGATCCATCCGAGAGGGCGGAAGCTAAGTGCTCGTACAAATATATGGAGCAAGTCCATTAGCAAGCCTTCTTTCGGTGTACCTTCGCAGATGAAAGAGGGAAAATATGCGGAACGGGAGCAGACGAAGGAACCGTGGACGGATCGCCTTTCCGTTTTCCGAATTTAACCTTTATCATGCCATTGCCATTAGGCGAAATGCTTCTAAAGCCGAAAATATATCTAAAGATGAGATTTGTGATCTGGGGTAAACATCTGTTAATGTTCGAAGTGACGGCATTCCTGAAGACGTGAAGGGGGAGGGGGGAAGGGGGAGTTGGAACTAGGGACCCCCCTCCCCCTCTGAAAAATTCAATATCTGCCACTCGTCAACGTCACTATCCGCTTTTCTTCTCAGCAAATCTGTGGTAGAGGTTAAGATTATATACATATATATTAGGACCGTATTACCTTCGTAATTAGGCTTCATCGCAAGGCGATGAAGCTTCTCGGATTTTGCGCCCTGCTCCAAGCAGCCGAAACCCATGACGATTTTCGAAACGTTTCGCCGGACGATCGTCTTACTTACGACACGATTTGTAGGTGGGTAAACGCGTACGATGCCGTCAGAACAGGTCGAGGATGAGCAAAGAAGAGGTAGACCTGCGATTCGTAGAAAAGAAAGCGCGATCTGACGTTCACGGACTCGAAATTCACCGTGCCGTTCCCAACCCTTGGAACGATTATCACTATTATCACATGAACATTCCAACTAACATCGTTCGACGAAGGATTCGAAAGAGGAACATAAACACACCACAAACGCGCGCTGCTTCTCTTGAGGCCCGACTTTCTCATATAAATTTACCCTTCTCACTCGATCTGTCCTCTTCTTATGTTTCTGCCCGGCCGCCTATTATAACCACTGCGCGGCGAACGTTTTCACTCTTATCATATGAAAGCAGCAGCGAAGCGGAACCCGAGAGATCTAGCCGAAGGTGAAGCGAGTCGTGGGATCGGGCTGCTACCAAAACGACGGGAGAAAACTCTACGAGTTCGGGGTGCTTGCATCAGGTAACTATCGTGGGTAGATTACTACTTTGTACTGCTCGATCGGTTTCCACGTGAATCGTTTTTAAAGTATTTTATAAAAAGTGGTCATCGGGTGACCTTGCACGTGCCGCTGTTGATATTTTCTAATGCGAGTTTGCACGAGAAGCAGAACGGACGGTAGCGCGAGTCGATATGAAATGGTGACCTTGACGATGTCGGAGTCTCCGTTGAAGACGGCGAGGGAGAGGGCCGTCATGCCTCTGAACCTCCGATTCACGTCGACGTCCGCACGCGAAGCCGCCCGTCTCACGCCTTCTGCGTCGCCACACACCACCGCCTGATGGAGGTCCATGTCCCACCCCGCGTCCCACCCCGTGCCCCCATCCTTCGCCACGGACGGGAACCTCCTGCGCATTCGCACTCGCCGTCATCGATCTTCTCCCCCGGTTTCTTCCTTCCCTGCGTGAAACGAGGAAGTCACCGAGAAGGCAAGGCGCCTGCTCGCGAGAATACCCGACCCACTCGGTAGGGGGAATATTTTTAGAAAAGGCGCCGTCGTGCGTTGCCCTCGGGAGCGGTTGAGAACGACGTTTTTAGCCCCTCGAACACGAACTCGGGCTCGAATAGGCCCAAGCCAGCGCGATCGGCCGATCGTTTTGTCGACGATCGTCGTGTAGCCGGGGATGCAGTAATCGTCATCACGTAAAACTGAGCTACTTTGGACCACTTTTAACTTTCAAATGCTTGCCACATCGTAAGAAATGAGATAATTACATTGCAGTCCCCACCGAATCGGTGAAACCACGTTGCTTATGTTTATGGACTGAGGATGCGAACACGATTATTTATTGCCAGAAGGTAATTGCGCCACTTTTGTTTAGCCCTTTAGTGGGCAAGTTTGTATCGGTCACCCTAAATAATTATGGGTGAATATTGACCGAGATACAGAATATGAAAATAATGTTAATAATAATAAATTGTCTGTTTTTTTGGCTCATAGTTTCGTTTCGGTCAGTTTTAAATACATTTGAATAATATTTTAGTGAAACGATGAAGCCACACACTCATTAAGAACAATATTTTTTATTATTATTAACGTTTACTTTAAAAAAAAATCTGGCTAATATTTGACGTACCATGCCTGTTTCAAGGCTAGATCAATGGACAGGCAAAACCAGAAGAAAAGGGTTCCGGCCATTCGCTGCATCTCCCACCTGCAATGCGAAGGCAAAGTGGCGGGACAGTGACCGGGACACCGACGACGGAACGGATAAGGTAAAGTCGCTGTGAGTCAAAATATCCTGAAAACGGATCTTGAAGTCATGGATCACGTTCACTAACAAACATTTCCGAACGTATTGCTACTTAAATTGACTTTCGATCTCGAAAAAACTTTTTTTGGCCACTGAGTGAAATACTTTTTCTGTGATTGCCGTGATTACTCTTTGCTTTTGCTTTTCCACTTTATTTTACTTCCATACCCGTGAATATGCCGTAAAATGAGTGACTTTTTCTCGGCACTCAGCACTTCTTAATTAGCAAAAATGGCGCAAAAGAGCGCTAAACTACTTAACGACCCGACATTGCTCTGAGTTGTGAAGCAGCGCGCGAGAAATTCGACAACAGCAGACAACACAACTAAGGGTGGATTTTTGAACTGAGCACTATCGTTGCATTATCGTATAGTGCTCTGTTCAAAAATCCACCCTAAATGTAGGAGAAAAGAGATGTGATCCCATAGCTGGCTAACCAACACAACCGACTCCAAAAAGTAAGACAAAGGAATTTAAAAATAGAAGAATGAAAGGAAAGGAGCCTTTGTCCTGGTTTGTCTTTGGTTTTGGTTTACATCCACAGGATCGGATTGCAACACGTGATCCCATTTACCCAGTGAATTCTCCCAGTTTTTGTGGAATTTTCTTTCTCCACTTTTTCCTCATCGAGACATGGATTGTGGATAGATCTTTCAGGCACGAATCCCACTAGAGCCTAATCTCTTTATAGCTGTCGGTTAGAGGTTATCTGCTCTCCTGAGCATCGTCGATTCCATTTTCACAGGGTACTTCGCACTGGCTGCCTTCTTGTAACGTGGACGTAAGTTTTCTCTAGATAACAGAGTGTGCATCTGTGGTGATTTTGAGAATGACTTAAACTGTGGTTTCTTTCAATTAACAACCTTTCAGCTATACTCTTTCATTTTCTTTTAGCTTATTTTGGCTCTTGTGGGAGGTGGCTCTGGTTCCCCGTGACAGCTTCTTGCACTCGCAGATGGATCTCGTATGCCCGTTAGCTTCGCTTCTTTCTGCCCGTGTAGCGTTCAATGACGCCCAGAGGGCATTAACCCTTCAAGCAATTTTCACGTACACCACACGATCATCTCTTAGGAGGTCGGGTGAAACCTCAGCGTTTGAAGGGTTAAGCACCTCGACGGTTTGCTCGTCGGCGCATTCAGGTAGAGCGGTCGTCGATGATTTGCGGAACGAGGACGGGAACGGGAAGCAGACCGCGTGCGAAAGCGGCTAGGGCTTTCACCTATTCAGGCACTCTAAAGAACATCTCGTTCCCGCCCTAGGCGCGGGAACGAGCTCACAGCTCACAGCGAGCTCACAATGACCCCAGCGGGAGTCCCAAAATACACGTTATGCTCGCACTCAGATATTCGACGACTACTCCGCTTTTCGATAGTACCGCAGCCTAACCACGCGCCTCTTTCTTCAGGGGCGGCACTCTTCAGCAAGCCATCCGCACGCAGAATTACCCGCGTTGAGACAAAGCCAGCAGAGGGAGGGGAAATTGTCGAGTCAGAGAAATTTAGAATCCTATGGACACTCAGATCCTCGGTCTTGAGTTCACTTGGGTTTTTCGAATTTCCATAAATTCCAGAGAACCTTATGACAATATACATTTTAAAACCCTCTGGGAATATCATTTTAAAAATTTCAGAATTGAAATATGAAAACTGAAGTAATCCAATATGAAATTAAAATTTTCAAGACTACACGAAAATTTCAAGAAATTTCTTTGCCACAAGTAACATGTACCAAAAATGGCCACCTATGCACATTTACCTAAGTTGCAAGACTCCTTGTCAGCTTTTTTTGGACGAATTCATAAACTATTCATGAAACTCTCAACTTTCAGTAAGTCAAGATGGAGTTAGATACAAAATGTATTACAACTTTATTTCACATGACACTGAGATCTCATCCATTCGCCCCAGCACATGGTGTCTTGTTTTCTTCATGCTTTTCATCTCCACTTTCCTTTGATGCAGTTCCCTGTCCTTCATCATTACTGGATAGGTTTCCATCTTCATGGTCTTTCAAGTCAGGTTCACTACCTCCACTGTCTTCATCAGTCCCTTGTTTTTCTTCCTTGCACCCCTCATTAGTTTTTCTCTTCTTCACCTTCCCTTTCTCCTTCATCTTTTCCTTCTTCTTGAGGCGTTTAGCTCTCCGTTTTGCAGTCCGTTCCTCTGCCAGCCTCTGATTCTCCTCCAGTTTTTCATGATACTTCTCATCCATTTCTTCCTGAGAAAGATAAAACATGTATAATTTAAAGTGGCAGTTCAATCAGCTTCCAACTTCAGGCTTTCTTGAAGAGCCAGAGGCATTCAGCTTTTTTATGGCAATAAAATATGGAAAGAAATGCCCCATCAATGAAGCTGATTATATTTTCTTCAACAATACAATACAAAATGAGAAAAACATACATCTGAATCGAGTCAAAGCATACATCAAGATCATATATATAATGTGGAGGGAAATAGTGGGGGGGAGGGGACTCTGGGAAATGTCCTCAAGCATTTTATGCATATTTTCCTTCAATCTTTCTTCTTTTTTTTTAGTGCAAGTCCCTTCTGGTCTCCCCAATGCTATGTCAATGATCATGATGTTATCAAATCAAAATAATCTTTAAATCATGGCCAAAACTGCATAATACAGGGCACTACTATGGATTGCCATTAAGGCAGGATATATTTTATTTTATTAAATGAGCAAAACTAAAATTCATAAAATTGGCCAATTTTAGTCAATGAATCTCAAAACTCTTGACTGAAACACACTGGTGCCATACCAGGTTAAAATATTTGAGTTTTTGTAAGAGACTTACCTTATGCTAAAAAAAATATTTAACCTTCTGTCAAGGTGATCAAAGAATTACTTAAAGTTAGCTAGGTCGAACCATTAGGTTCCTGTTCATACAAGGGGTGTTTCAATAGTTTCTGCCCTGAAGTGCTTTGGGTCAGATTGGGCCTAATTTCTTTTAGGAATACAACATTTGGCCTCTTTAAGGGAAATTTTTTAATTATATGCACATTGATGCATTTTTATGTTGTATTTCAGATTATAGCAAGGAAGTAGTAAGTAGAGCACCATTCAGTTTTCTATTTCCTTGTTAGGAAGACTAACTCTTCAGAAAATGTATTATGCAAACACAAATTTGCTGAGAAGTTTCTTCCTTTAGTCCTTTCCATGGTAGCATCTCCTTCTGGAGACACTATTTGAAATTTGTTCAATGCCTGTAGCAGCATGTGCAGCAAAGATTTGCAGGAAAACAGGCATTCAATTGAAAGAATGAACTGTCATCTAGTCTGGGATATAGCAAAGAGCCTCAGTTACAAGCAAGTTTTGGCTTGAGTTCAATGCATCTCTGACCACTCCCATATTAATTTGCCACAGAAAGAGTTAACAAAAGAAAATGAAAAACTGAATAATACTCCACTTTTAGATTGTCCATTCAGGTCCCTATCAATATTTGGTATCACCACTTCTTTTGGCATCTCTCACAATGGATAATTGCACAGGGTATGATCTGAGCAAGCTCTAAAAAAATGTCTGTGGCATATCCCAGTCTGAGAAGAGTTTCAAGCATTCAAGAGTTCAAAAAACTTTCATTAGGAGAACTTGTTTTCGCTATCTCTTGAAGGCACTCCATCTTCAACTTTGTCTTTTACAATGGCTCCAAAGTGATGGGGGCATACAAAATTGTGTGATGGACCAGATGATTCAATGCTTCCAAAAATTGTGATTCCACTTTGATGGAGGAAGTCTTGGGCAGCTTTATGAAAGCAAGGGGCTTTGTTATAGAGAAAGCATACCTGAGTAGGATCAATGACGTTCTGAATTCCAATGGGAGGTCCAGCACATTCTCGTGGAGGACTATTTAAAAAAGGAGCAGGAGAATCATGGTTGGGAAAATATTTTCCCCATATTTCCTCCTGGAGTACATGCTGAATTTCCCTGAAATTGAGTACTGTAATGCCTTGACCCATAGTCTGATCCTCATTTCACTTTCATTTTGCAAACAAAGCCCCTCCCACTGTTACTGATGCATAGCACAGATGATCAGGTAGATAAGTTCTAACTTTTTGTGAAAGTTGAGCCAAAATTAGTTGGGGACTCTTGTCTTCACACATAATTATGAGGTTAACTTATCTATAGTTTATGTCCTGGCTCTTCTCGTACCCATAGGCCCATACCATTGTCTTGTGCTAGTCTAGACATGTCTTCACACACAAAGTTTAATGCAGGACATCCAATCTGAGACATCTGAAATATATATTGGAAGTCCTATACTTCAACTCACAGTTCAGGAAACAAGGATGAATAAGGGCAAGCCCACATCCTCCCATTTGAAGATTGTAACCACATAATTAGCAGGCATAGATTCTAATATCCCTATGTTGAAGTAAGGCTTAGGCCTATGCAAACTACTTTTGCCCTTACCTTGACTGCCTTATGCTTAATGAAATCCTGCCTTGCATATTCTCGTCTTCGTATGTGCCTGTATATATGGAACTCCCCACTTCCGGCACCAGCACTTGACCCCATTACATTCCTCACGAACTCGGGTGGCTCAGGAAACTTCTTCTCCTTGCGAGGTTCAGGTATGAATACAGGCTTTTGCTATCATAGTAAGGAAGAAAAGAGGTCAAATTTCCCTGAAAAAATACGACACAATAGCTGAATTCTACATCACAGCAACATAAATAGGATCGTCGACCTCAACCCACAGGGTTTTTCATGAGTCGCTCCAAACGAAGTCGTTGAAGCTCTGCAGGAGTTTTGGCGATTTTGATCTTCGGATCGTCTTCATCTCCACTCTCAGGATCCACTTTCGGCATCTTTTGCAATTTCAGGATTTCAGTAGCGCCTATCCCCCAAAGAAAATAAATCTGTTAGCGAAAATTTCCGGTAATCAACTGCGATTCCTGAATGGATCAGTGGCGACACGTGCGGAAGAGAGCTGCCATGCTTGAACGAAGTGTACTGCATATCGTCTGCTAATGACCCCATTTTCGTCGTCTGCTGCAAAGCGTCCCCATAACGTCATCTCGGCTTCTCTTTGATCTCAATTGACGGCAAATTATTAAAGAGCAATGGCGTAGCGAGAGGGGACTGAGGGGGCTGAGGGGGCTTCAACTCCCTCAAGTTTGGTTCAAGCCAACTTGGCTAACTCTTGTCAAAATGCATCTTTCTCCCTCCCATCCCCCTCTTTCCTCTAAGAGGAAAATTAAGGGAAATCCTAGCCTCCCCGTTGACGAGATCCTGGCTACGTCACTGTTGAAAAGGAAAGGAGCAACGGATTTTTGTTTATAAGCATAAGATGCACCTATTGGTCTTCTAGATCAGATCTTGTTATGCGATAAAGGAAGTCGTTTCTGGATCCTATTGGATCCTCTAATTACCTTGATCTGACCCATTTTTCCAATATGCGTATTCTCGGACAACTCCATGTGTTAATAATATCCATGACCTAATCCCGTTTCTAGGACACAACTGTGATATCAGACGTGGGCGAATATTAACGTTTCAGGATTGAACCTGGTTCGGTGCACTGGTCTGGTCTGGAGGATACGCCCACGTTACGAAAAATGAGAAAATTGTTCCGTCCTGTTACAAGTAGTTTAGAGCAAGGATTACAAGGACATCGTGAAGAACTTTAGCGAGGGTTGTCCTGCAAGGGATGCATGCGCGTCAGCACGAGTGCAAGGACAGCGAGGATCACGGTCCGTCTCTTGCCTCCAAAAACAATTGGAACGAAGCAATGAAACTGAACAACAAAGGTCAGATGAAGAACAAATAAAATGAAGTAAGATATTTTATGAGTAATTGCACGATGAGACATCTAAATATGAAGAGCATGATGAAAGCCATAATTGAAGCAATACAAATGCATGAAACCATCAACGTATGAGTAAGAAGAGGAAAGTAAGAAGCAAGTGAGAGAACATATGAGAGACGATGGTGAAAGTTTTGCTAAATCCAGTCATAACACGATGTTAACTTGAGGGCACTTTCGTCGTCAGTCACATTACTCCGGAAGCAGGAAGAATGCATGATATGACTCATGGCACATCTGCTCGATACGAGCTTCCGTGCGCCCACTTCTTTTTTGCATAGGAGTCCTCTGCCTCTTATCTAACTTGAAATCTTATATCGAACTTCAAAGATCCTACTTGAAGCCACGTTATCCACGAAACAAACTAAGCGAACATGTAAATTCAGGAAATTTTGAGAAGCGATACTCTTCTCATTACATTCACGCATTTCATCGATTGCTTCGGAATCTTGAGGATAGTCATGTACCTAGCTAAATATTCCGCTATAGTTTCGAGAATATTATTACCCTGTACAAAAACCCTACAAGCTGGACCAGCCCTAGCTATTTCGATGCCCTGTGCAGAGACTCCCAAAGCCCCCCTCCCCCAGACACACGCATTTTGATCAGGATGGGCTTCCACTTTTTGAAGTCAAACTGAGGGTAAAATATATTGCTTCATTCATTCAGTCACGTTTTGGCACCTGATAAATTTGCGCCCTGTGCGGGGGGGGGGGGGGGGGCCACAAATGGCACATGTCNNCGGGGGGGGGGGGGGGGGGGGGGGGGGGGGCCACATATGGCACATGTCTAAGGCCGGCCCTGCCTACAAGGCAATCGTTTGCGAAAATTCTATAGAATTTTCAACGAAATCTCGCCGGAGGATTTCCCGTTCGTCCGTATCGAGATCGCTCGATTTGGGAATGCTCGCTCACCGTCGCTCTCTCCCTCCGATCCTCTTCCCGATCGAGTACGCAGGAGACGATCGCCGACGGGCGTGCGACGCGAGGCACGCATCGCATCCGACGGAATCGATGGGCCTGCGATCACGAACGACCTCCTAGGAAGTTGGACGGTGCAGTCCGCTTGCAGACGGGCGGAACTTCAGAGCCTCGACGGTCTTTCGTTTAGGCCAGGGGAGTCGAAAGTTCGGCAAGTGGGTCGGATCCATCCCATCGCATGCTTCGCGTTTGAGTAAATAAAATGCACGTAGGATCGCATCTGAATGCATTGCATTTTTCATTGTGATTTTAAAAAGCAAGGTCTTTTTCCGCCATCCAACCTGCATCGTTCTAAATACTTCCCAAGTAGCCCACCGTACTGAACTTTGGAAATCTTCGATTCAGTCGCACCAGACGCGATGGGAAAAGGATGAAGGACGAAGGACGAGCGTTTCGCATCGCACGATACTGCACGGTCACCCGGCATCTCCCAGGTGTCTTCACGTCCGATCGCTCGCTATCGCAATCCTCCTTTCTAATCATTCCATCCTTTTTTTTTCTTTTTATGTACCTTGAGCGAACCCATGCACGTATCACCGTGCCACCTGAGGTTGCACGAAGCGCTACGACGCGCAGAAGTGAATCATCTTTCACCTTCGGCTTTCCACATCGGAGTTGAAGCTGTTGGACGAAATGATGTCCGGGCTTCGACTCCTTCCGTCTCTGCATCCGGCCGTCCATCCACCGTTCCACTTTCTTTTTTTCCGGAAACATGAAAGGAGTGCCACGAAATGGAAAGCGATCGTTGCATTCGGTTTCCCCTTCTTAGAGGAAATCATCATCCGACACGCTAACGTTTTATTCCTTTCCCTTTTTCACTCGTAAGCAAGATACAGAAGAGAGATCCTGCTTCTCGTTTTGTCGATGGTGGATTTGCGGCGACTCGGTGAATTTCTTTTTCCATCACTCGCTTATTTTCGATTCCGTCTAGCAATTCTACCTTTGAGTAATAACTTGGAGGAAATTCCCATCGATTACAACACCGAGGCACGCATCGTTTCGTCGATGAACGGAGCCGAGTTTTACTCTCGTCCTCTCGTGTTTTAATCAGAAGAGATTCCTGTTATTTTTATCTTGTCAATTTTAGTCAGCCGCAGCAATTCTTAATTCAACGAGCAACTTTGTCGACTATAATTGTTCAATTTGATAGTGTTGTCGTATAGTTACACAGTAATTGAGCCATTTCAGTCCTAGTGCCCGATTCTCGATGACTCATTCCTAGCCAACATTAGTCACACGTTGGGTATATGAAAAAAAAGTCCTTGTATGAGTCACTTCCATGCGTTACCGAACTAGCGATAAGCTCTGTTTGTTTACGAATCATGTATTTCTCTCGCCGTCTCGGTTTGGCCTGCCGATTCCATGCCCAAAGTCACTCGAATGGAATGGCCTTAAAACCTTAAAACCGAAAACCTTAAAACCTTTTAACCTTTTCGTTTGTATCATTTAATCTACACGACGAACAGAACGTTTTAAGCATCTCTTGAACAACGTTTTCACTTTCATCATCGTCATCACCTGCGTGATCGATTAACGCAATTAAGATGATGTATTGGACCTCGAGTGCAAGGAGCTTCGCGTCCGTCTGCATCATCTGCATCATCGCGATCTCCGTGACCCAAAAGAGAAAGCCCCTGCATTTACATGTAATTTAGAGGAACAGAAGTGGGAGCTATCTGATTGGAAAGAAAGTTCTCGGAATTTCTTGAATATCCAGTACAATTTTTTTCCAGAGCATGCTAGAATGTTCAAAATAACTTCGTCCAGGCATGGCGAGAAGCGAGGATTTTAGTTGTTGCAAAGGAGATTTCGCCTTTTGCCTTCCCGGCGATTCTGGCTCAGTGTGCTCAAGGTGTCTGACCTGTGAAATAGATATCCACATTTTTTACCCCAGATGGAAAAATGTAAAAGACGATAGGACGGAGATGGAGACGGAGACGGAGAGCGATGGTGGTGGTGGGGGGGAGTTAGGAGTTAGGGAACTAGCCCCCCACATGAAAAATGTCTGCATCCGCCACTGGTCTCACTGAAGGTGAAAATGGGAAAGGGTCGAGTGTACAAACGTGTCAGTTGCGAGAGCGTGCCAGACAGGATTGACTTTCTCCTCTATTCCTTTTTTTCTGCATAAAATTGTAGGTCTCAAGGGCGGCCGCAACCACAAACCATTCGCGGAAACGGATAAAAACTGGTTTGAAGCTAGCTTCTTTTTTTCTTTTTCACTCGTACGTGAGATTCAGTTTCCTAGCTTCTCGACTGCGCAGTGGGGCAGTAAACTTATCAGGGGCATTACTTTTAGATATCGTGTTTGTACCCCCCTGCCACTAAGTTATTCTTTGATGCGCAGAAAGTCATTCGAAGATATCCCAGGAAGAACCACAGGTCAGACACCTTGAGCACACTGAGCCAGAATCGCCGGGAAGGCAAAAGGCGAAATCTCCTTTGCAACAACTAAAATCCTCGCTTCTCGCCATGCCTGGACGAAGTTATTTTTTTTTAAAGCAGTAATCGTTATTTCTCAAGATGCAGAATCGATATACATTGGAGACTTTCACGATATTGGGCGGATTTTTGAACAGAGCACTTCCCGATATTGCAGCTTTATTTACCGATGTATAATGCATTTTCTCTTAAATAAAGCTGCATTATCGGATGGTGCTCTGTTCAAAAATCCACTCATAGTCATGGTTATGGGTCATTTATTCGAGACCTGCTATCAGAGGACCCAGAGTCCAACATTAATTTTCTGCGGATGAGTTCACGACGCTTTGAGGAGCCGCTGGATGTGGTTAAGCCAGCCATCAGCTAACAACATTCGATGACGAGAATGCCTAAACCAGTTAATATTCGTTTGGCTGTAACGTTGAGGTTCCTGACAACCGATAAAGTCACAATTTACCAATCGAACAGGGCATAATCGATCTCTACAGATCAACAAAGGGAAATATTTTCTGTTCTTTATATAGGAGAATCTTTCAGGAGTTTGGACATCCTTCTGGTATTTCGAGTCAAGCTATCGGATAAATAGTTTCCTTTCATTTTTAGCTTGCAAATACTTGCGCCTGATTTCTTCAGGGCTTCAACCTTTTCCCACTCCTTCACGAAATGAACCTTCATGGAGTGTCATTTCTTTTTCACCTCACTTCGACTGATGTTCAACATTTTTGCAGTTTCATCCAGTTTATGTTGCTCGATCACCTTATCGTGATACTCTTTGCTATGAACTTTCAAGAAATTCTCTGTCACGCGCCAACGCAACGCAAATTCACCTTCCGCATCACCTTCACTTTCTTGGAATCAGAATGCAAAATAGAAAAGCTGCGAAACCAAATATTCGGTTCACGAAACTGAGAAGCTGTTTACGCGAAGCCAATATTTCGACACACTGCAAAAATATCGTGAAACTGGCTTCCCAAAACCAGTTTAGAAAAATTTGTTTCTCGTGTGTGACCTTGTGAGGCCAGGAGACGAAACCGCGGCTTCCCCCCCCCCCCCCCCCCACCTCCCCTTACCCCGCCCTTAGCTTAGGTCCAACACCAATCGCGGAGCCTTTATGCTCATATCTGTGGGAAATGGAGGAAGATAAACTTGCACGGGGAAAAATCAAAGCGTTCGTCCTTTTGAATCCCAGAACGATTCCCTCCCAATTTGAGGCTCCCGGCAATCGCCAACTTTTCCGATGCTCATTCTGCCTTTTAAAAACCCTTTTAAAAACGGCCCCGCTCATATACATTTATATGATACGCCTGAAAATGACTCAAGTAAAGTTGGAGTGCGATTAAACGGAGAGTAATTTTAGATCCTAACTACGGATTGGATACCAGCACTTTCGCTAGCATTCTGCACTCATATTGCTCATAATCCTAAGGATCCACTTAATGTACAAAAGTGCCTCAATCTTCAATACAATCATTTTAAGGTGTCAATTCGTACGTATTTACATACTTCCTGTGTCAAATACGACACATAGGCATCGCACGTCATCAATGGGAGACTGTTAGCGCCTTAACATAGTCACACTCTAACGGAAATATCGGGCTGTAACAGGATCCTGGCCTGATTCCTCATTAACTGTTCATCGAGACTAGACGTATCAAGAACCGTCCGTCCTGAAAAGCCAAAAGAAATCCAGCTTGTCCCCTTGTATAACGGAAAGGTCGGGATGTAATAGGATGCTGTTCTGATTCTTAATTTTTTGCCCAAGAGGATGAGCCATGAATAATCATCCTTCCAGAATCACAGGAAACACAGGACCGGCGTTTCGTCATACAGTATATCCGGCATGACCCAACTCGTCGCCGGCACCACACCACCGGGAGACCGTTTCTCGGGGTCATTATTCTAGGACCGCAAGTGCCGCGGTCACAATATAGTTGAAGGGGCCGCGGGAAAATACACGAACCGCATGATTCCTCTTCATGTGTCACGTGCGATGACGTCACAAAAAAGGAGTCACAGGGGGCTTCCCGTTGGTGGGAACACGTGGAGGAAAGAGAGAAACATGGAACCGGACGCGAGTGTGAGTCAGGAATCTCTCGGAATTCTCCTCGCTACCGTCCTGCTTGGAGCATGCATCCTCTTCCTCTATATCCGCAAGCTCCTCGGCTCTGCGTCAAAAACCGACGAAAGTCAAGGAGATCAGCAAAGTGCAGCTCAAGGAAGTGAGTGATAGACCTAAGTCCTCAAAACGTTAGCAGATTGGCGTAGCGTACTATGGCCTTCAAGGCTAGCTCGTGTTTTTCTCTTGAGTCTGACTGTCGCTTGAATCAAACACTTGTGCATGAGATATGCCTCATGTACGAGTGTCGTAGTCAAGTGAAACAATGTCTGACTCAGGCGAAAGACTAGCATATTCACCAAGTTAGGTTCTAAACTAGACCAAACGCTAACTCAATCTTAAGTTTGGTACTAACATGGCTGTGAGAGTAATTTATAAGTGCATGACTCCAATTATAAAAATTTAAGGCCCTGGAATTTAGTCTCTTTAGAATCACAAAACCTGATGTTGCTATTGCAGAAGATCCTGTGACCTATGGGCAAGCAGACAGTCAGAAAAGCAAGAAGAGATTAGAGAAGTCGTCCAGGGAAACCAAGTCCACATTTTCTCATTCCTGGCTCTTTACATCTTTGAAGGGGCATATAGGACGGGTGTTGGACCTTGATTTCAGTCCTAACGGGAAGTGGATTGCCACTTGTGCTGATGGTGAGGTCTTCACTTCTCCCTTGGGTGTCATCAGATCTGCAACTGTAGTAGTAGGCTAGATCATGGCATTGAGTTATGATAAGCCAAATTGTGATATTGATTCCACTTAGGCTTGTTGCTAGCATATAAGCTCTTCCCTCATAATGAAGTTGTATTTGCAACATGACCATGTGCACATGTTGGCAAAAATTTTCACCACCTAGACCCCAATTCCCAGTGAGTGGGATGCCTTGTAACCAGGCATACCATATTGTAGTATATTAGGCCTAATTTTCATGATTTCCTGGAGCATGAGACATGAAAATGTCAGAAGAGCTACCTACTTTAGCAATTTTACTGCTGTTCATGCCATATGGCTTGTTCAATATGGTGAACCTCCACTGCCATGCTAGGCAAGGAGAGGTTGGGTGGGTATTTAAATCCTTGGCAATTGATGTGTTAATGGAGAAATTAGTATTGATCATTGCTCCATTACAGCCTTTGTGAAAGTAAAACCAAGGCAAAACATGTTGGGGGTTCAGAAATAATAATAATGAAAATCAAGGCTACACTAAGGAAGTAAAAGTATGTTGAAAGTTTCTATGCTCAAATCCAAAGAGATCCAAGTATTCAGAAGTTAATTTGTATGGTTTTCCTTCATGGAGAAATGTCTGAATAATCTGGTGATATGTCCTGTTCTTCCTGCATGCATGTCTGTTCATCTGTGGTTTGAGATGCATATCCCTGTAAGGTGTCAGTGACCTGGAGTTCTTATTTCTGTGAAGATATGACTGCAGAATCAGGCAGAGTGGAGGTCCAGTCAAGCTCAAGAGACAGGGAGCAGACAATAACCACACGTGAGCCAGGAAGGAAGAAACAGAAGCGTAAGAGAGCCAAGCAGAAACAAGACAGTGAAATGAAAAAGGAAGTCCATCTCTCATGTCCTGCTTTTAGAGCAAAGCCCATGCAAGAGCAAACCCTGAAAATGTACCAGACATTACACTGCACAAATGGCCAGCTGTACAATTTGATGAAGAATTATCTGGTGAAATCCCAACAACTTCAAGTCCTTGGCTTTCCGTTTCGAGGCTGTCAGAATCCTAAAGATGCATATGTGTACATTGTGCATAAGAAAAAAGTAGCCAGTGCTCCAGCTGAAGACTCAGATTCAGAATTTAGTGCAAGCAGTGACATAAAGAGTGAATCCCTTGCTGCAGATGCATTGGCAGAACTGTCATCTGCACTGAAGAGTCCCCAATCTTCTGAATCTTCCACAGAGAAACTGTGCGTTCGTTGTCACATGCCATTCCATGTCACATCCAAAGGTGAATACATCACTCATGACCCCTGTGTGTACCACTGGGGACGTTTGATGAATGCAGACCGCAGGGGATATGCTCCTCGGTTTTATTCATGTTGCAAGGGGGGTGTGTCCAGTGAAGGTTGTGCCCAGTGTGATCTTCATGTGTGGACTGGGATTCAGCCTGGTCTCAATGGACCATATGATGGCTTTGTGTCAACACAGCCAGCACGTTTCATCCCAGCTGATGGAAACTATGGCATTTATGCTCTTGACTGTGAGATGTACTTTACAGCCAAGGGCCTCCAGCTGGCCAAAGTCACTGTGTTGGATCTGAGGGGGAAGTTGGTTTACGAGAAACTGGTGTGTTCTGATGACTATGTTGTTGACTACAACACCCGTTTCTCAGGCATTACTGCTAGACATCTTGAAGGTGTGACTCAAACCTTGGAAGACATTCAACAAGAACTGCTGACCTTCATCCATGCAGAGTCCATTCTTATTGGACATGGAGTTGAAAATGATCTCCGTGCCCTTAGGGTGATCCACAATAATGTTGTGGATACATCTATGCTATTTCCACACTTCTTGGGCTTCCCATACCGTCGCTCATTGAAGTCACTGGCAAGAAGTGTACTGAGGAAAAAGATTCAGGCAAATAGTGAAGGCCATGACAGCCATGAAGATGCACTCATCAGCCTGGAACTTGTATTGTCCCAGTTGAGATCTGACCTACTTACATCAAGATCTCCCCAGACTTCACTGTTACCTGTGAATCATCAGGCTACCCCTACCATTGCACAGGTGTTTCCTTTGATCATTCTCCCATATTCCATGCAGCTACAACACTGCTAGAAGAATTGCTCCTGGCTCCAATCTCAACTTTAGCAGATCTGGTTGTTGTACAGATCTGGAGAGTGAGAAACTTCATTGGTTGTGGGTGGTTGACATGAAAATTCAGCAGTGTGCTCTCATAGTTTGAGGTATGTATGAGCATGTGTGTGTATGTCTGTCTGTCTGTGATGTGGAATTGACAAATGAATGGTACATTTCACCCAGAATTTTCCTGTTTAATTTGTACTTGTGGCTAGCCACATTTCTAATGCAGGTCTCATGCTCCAGATGTAATAGGCTCTGAAAGATTGGAACACTCAACTCTTGAAAACAAGGCAAGCAGCATATGTTTTTTGTCATCAAATATCAGCTGAATAAGCCATTTCAGCTGATACTTTAGCAATTTGATATTTTTTCCTACTTGTTTGTCTACTTTTTTTTCTAAGCTGAGGTATGGAGTTAAGAGCATCAGGAAAACCAAATCCAGTGTGGAGTGCTATGCCATATGCATTATATTATCCTCACCTTCACGATGGCTATCCTTTGAAGTTATTAAAAGATGGCAATCAGTGTCAGCGCTCTAAGCAGCAAAATTTGCTATTAATGCAGTTTTAATGAAAACATCCAGCATCTTGTTTTTTACATGCATTATGGTTCAAGTAAGTATTTGTCAAGTCATGCGTCATGGGAATTGTAGTGAACACATCTGCTTTCTTGAATTCAGACTCTTGCAGAGGTATCTTGATTTTTCCTATCGTTTCAAGGAAAAGAACAGATTTTTATTGATTCACATATTACACAAGTTTTTCCTTTGTGTGTTAACCCATATACACTATGTTGCCAAAGAGGAAAGCAAGAGAATTGTTTGCATGCAGATCGCTCTGTCCTTATCTGGACATGTAAGGACCTGGACCAGAAAGATCATAAGAGCATTCGTGCCAATGTGGAGTATGACCATGCAGTCAAGGTCAAGTGGAGTCCAGACTCCAAAGCCTTCATCGTTTTCAAGGCCCAGGAAGGAGTTGTTGAGGTCTACAAGGTCAGCAAGAAACCCGATAGCAAGCTTGGAGACTTCCAAGTGGCTCTTACTTTTCCTAAGGTATCATCATAGTTCTGAATCTGGAGATTTTCCAATTGAAAATTATCTTGTATTGTGTATGGGTCATGAAAACTGCTCTGGGGAATACTTTTAGAAGCATGAAGGAGACTGTGTTGGTCTGGGCATAGCCTGTGATGGCAAGTACATCATGACCTGTTCCAACCGGAATGACCTTGTTATCTGGGATCTGAAGGGAGAAGTCTTGGCCCAACAGGACACTCATCAGGTTGACACCTACTCAGCTCTCATTTCACCATGTGGACGATTTGTTGCCACCTCTGGTTGGTTTCCCTTCAAAAACAAATATGTTCTTCTGCATGATGAAGGAAATTGTCCTAGATTGATATGTGTAATATCGATTGTGTGCAGGCTTCACACCTGATGTGAAGGTGTGGGAGGTGAAGTTCACACGTACAGGTGAATTCAGTGGCCTTGTGAGAGCATTTGAGTTGAAGGGACATAATTCTGGTGTTTACTCCTTTGGATTTAACACCGACTCAACCAAAGCTGCTACAGTGTCAAAGGATGGCACCTGGAAACTCTACGATACCAACAGTGAGTCTAATAAGCCGCATGAATGAAAATCAAACTCATGTACCATAAGTGTGGTTAAAAAAATATGAAGCTTGCTCTATAGCCCCCTCTGTAAGAGGCAAGGTAAAGAGGTAAGGGTAACAGAGGGAAAGGAAAATGAAGATAATCATGAATTGCCATTTATGAAGTGGATTGCATGAAGCCAATTATTCCATATTTTAAAGCCTATATTTCATGTATATTCAATTCCTCTAAATCAAGTAGATGAGCAAATGAAGGGTTCTTGGAACAACCCTTTTACCTCTAAAGTGGGTATGATGGATATTTCTGCCTATTCCATATATTTTATACTATTTAACTGTACCAATGACATTCAATTACAATAGTGTGATTGTTAACTATAAAACTGTTCAAAATACAAAATCAGTCTACTTTACTAGAAAAAAATTTTACATTAGTGGTAAACCTGTGGATTGAAAACTCCCCACTTACAAGGTTAATGGGTTGTGTTGTTTGAAATATTTGACAAGGTTTGATTTTTCCCATGCAGTTGAGTATGAGAAGGGTCAAGAACCGCATCTGATCTCAACCAACAAGTATGAGAGTCAGCCAGGCGAGAAAACATTATTGGCATTGAGTCCTGATGGCCGAACGGTGGCCATCACTTCAGGCAATGATCTGCTTCTTTTCTCGGCCATCTCAGGGAATCTTGAAAAGCGCATCTCCAACATTCACACAGGTGCATTCAGAGTTTCTTCTTTGCACAAAATTAACATTTAAATATTTTATCTATTGCCCTAATCTATCCAAGTAGACATTGAGCTCAAAGGGAATATGAGAGGTGATGAGTGCACTCGTCTGCTACTTCTATACAGATTTCCATTTAAGCTTTTTCCTGTTCATGAAAACCATTCCCCCTGTGAATGAATGCTGAGAGTGTTTCTCTTCCAATGGATCTATCATGAAATAATGCAGTCAGTCCTCAATATATTGCAATTTTTTAAGATTTTGGAACCACAAAGCATTGACTACTCCAAGATTTTTTCTTTTTCTTTTTTTATTTTCCTCCCTGAAGAAATAGGGGGAAGATGTCTTCATCTTTTGTTTTGGAATAATTTTTTGAGCTTATCTTCCTCGGGTTGTCATGGAGGCATGCATGAATGTTCCATGAAAATTTGGCAACAATGAAGTGGAGACACCTACGAGTGATTATTATTTGAACTCTTCCTCATGGCATAAATGAAGGTGTCATTTTCATTACTACCATTAATTTTTTTCTTTCTCTTAAGCATTTTTGCTATCCATATGTGCTGACTGTGGCTAGGAGGAATAGGGATGTTTTTGTTCACATTTATTACAATTTTGAAGACTGGAGCTCAACTATCTCCTTGCATTTCTTTTCATACCCCCAGATGGTACAGAATCCCATTTAGAAAGTGATCCCAGCAATTTGCCTTCAAGCATAGGGGGCTTGTGTTTTTGTCTTCCATCAGATTTGTCATCTTAGGTAACATCCATGCACTGCATACTTCTTGATGCTCTGTGAAAGGTCCATATTGTGACAGTGTACAGGTTTTTCAAAATTACCATCCACTGTCAATGTATAAATTGATTGCAGCAATGATTACATGAATTGACTTCTTGTATATGCATGTCTGACATTTGATAAATGCGATAAGTCAACTTGTACAAGTCTCCTTTGCTGGCCAAAAAACTCATTAGGAATGGACTTTCACACCTAGTTTTGGATTACATTGTCATGTATTATTAGTTTTTTTCTTGATGGTGATGCTCTAGTGAGCTCACATGTTGCCTTGCAGTTTTCATTTGGTTTGGGTTCACCTTCAGTTCATATCCATTGGTATCTCCAGTTCATATATGCCTCTTTCCAAGATCATGTTCAGTTTGAGTTTTTTGCATGATCTAGTTGGAGGCATTAAAAAGTGCTATCCTTGGAGTTTGAAAAAAAAAATACCATGTCAAAATTCGTCATCAATGCTTGGAAATGTCAATGCTTCTTGCAGGTGGGATCATGGCAGTGATGTTTGATCCCTCCAACAAACTGGTGCTGACTGCTGGGGACAGACAGGTGCGGATGTTCCATAACGTGGTTGGGTACAAGGCAACCATAGAAGAGCTGGAGGGGAAAAGGAAGACTGCAACCACTGTTGCCATGAGGGAGAGGATCATACAGCAGATATCAGAAGCGAAGGCTTTCCTCCAATCTCTCCAATGACTCCCACCGCTTCCATCATTTGCCTGTGTTCCAAGAGGAATACATTTTTTAGGCGGCATAGCCTATGACGCTATGACCCCCAGAATTTATTTCTTGTTTTTGACTCCACTTCCACACATTGCCTGTTTCATCTCCCAAAGAATAACGGATTGGCAAATTAGGTTCTGAGCACTGGACAGAATTATAAAAATAAATAGTAAAGTGTGCACAAAAGGTGCTATGGGGTGGATGAGGGAGAAGAGTAAGAGATAGAAACCAAACAGTAGCGAGCCTTCTGCATAGGGCGCCTAAAACCTTTATCCAGCCCTGAAAAAAAAAGTTTATTACGCAGTTAATACTTTGCCTACTATTTAACACCTAAGTAAACAGAAACAAAGTTTTTGTGTACGAGATGAAGCTAATACTATGCAACAACAAGCAGTTTCAAGTCATTAAATCAGCCTGCGTTGTACTTTCCATCTTGACTACCTCATTCCTAGAAGGAAAGGCGCTTCCTCGAGCTTTATTGAATGGACCGTAGCCGTTTATTTCTCGAAATTCCTTCCCACGATCACGGTAAAATCTATATAATCGAAAAGCTCTCTTCGTCTCCTTTGATTCAACATACAAGGCGACGTGTACAGAAATGTCGACAGGGTAATCGAGTCAGGGCCGTTTCTAGGGGCGGGCGATCGCCCGGGGCACCAGCGGAGGGGGGGGGGGGGGGGCCGGGGAAAGAAACACCATAATAAAACAGGCATTTTTTTTATGTGGTTAGCATCCATTTTATGCGAACTAGCACTAATCGGAACGATATAAAAATTAAAATTATTAATGATGTTATGCCGTGCAGCCTCCTCCAGTACCAGCGTACTGGTTAGTTTGATAACAGTTTCATTATCAGGCAGAAGCCTCCCCCCTCCCAACTTTCCCCTCGTTTATGCGGCATGATGCCACGCTGCGACTAGATAATGGGTATCAAGTAGGGCTGTCACGATATGTCGATGCGTCGATACCACTATCGATGGTTGGAAGAATCGATAGTTTTTTCGATCATGCATGCATGATCATGCGCAAAATGATGGGAAATGCCCCATTGGATTGAGACGAGTTCAATACAGTCCGGGCGGGGAAAGGAAGAGGCGGCGTGACCCGCATGAGCTTTCAATTAATTATCACGATCAATTTCTGGAAATGCTGGGACTGACTATATGAAATAAAGGAAAAAAATAAACCCAGTTCGAGTCGGAGACATGAAGTGGGAAAGGAGAGGGACTGAGAATATTTTTTTCTCTTCTGTTTCAGTTTTCGGCTCGATCAGGAGGTGCATGCTATGAAAGTGGACTGTTCTTATACTCCCTTCATTTCGAAATGTACATCGGTTAATCCCCCTCTCTATAATACTAGCTTTCTCTTTAGTATGGAGGCTTAAGTTTTTGAATTTTTAACTTGTCCTGGGGAATTTTACCTCTTAAAGTGAACCCAAGGTGAATTATTTACTCGGACGTCGCTTGAATCTAGGACTAGGAATGTTCCGGCAACCGCAGGTGTAGCCCCAGAGACAGGTTTCCTAGGAAACACAATAATAAAAACAAGTATTTTTTAAATGGTTAGCGTGGAGGAAAATGCTTTGACTTGGCTTTGATTACAGTGGATTCCGCTTTATTGGGCCATCGGTTAATAGGGGCAGCCGGTTTATCGGGACATTTTGTCAGGAACGGAACCATTTCTATGCAAGTGCATAGAAATTTCACCGTATATTTGGGACGAAAATCCGCTTTATTGGGGCAAGGTTAGGGTGAATTTAAGCCATCGGTCCCATATGTTTTTTTTTTTCGCCCTCTCTCTCCCTCCCCCTCGCCGTGTGTTTTGTGTTTTTATTTTTAATTTTTATACCGACTGTTAAAGCAGAGACCATAGCAAACTGCTTCCGTGGATCTGGCTTTCTTTCTGGACCAGAGGTGCCAGGGTCAACCTATGGGGAGGGTCTGACTATTCTTGATGTCACTAACGGGGAAGCCTACGTCAACATCGACGAAAACGCTCCATGCTCCGCCGAACACAATGACCGAGGACGATACAGTCGAGGGCATCGTTGCCATGAGACCTCGCTTAGGGGATATCGCAGACGAGGAACCTGAGAATTTACCTAAGGTGACTCACGTACGAAGCCAGGAGCTCGGTGGACATCCTTCAGCGCTACTTTATTGAGCAGGGTTTGGATAATAGAGAACATGGTGCTCTTGACATCGGTGCTTCAGAAAAGCTTTTTCGGATATGGAACAAGCAACTATGGGCTTCTTGAATTGTAATTTTTCCTTTTGCACAAGTAAAGGACATTCTCCTCTGGGTTTCTTACTATACTAAAAGGTAAGTTCGCTTTATTAAGGCAGCCGCTTAATTGGGGTGAATAGACCTTGAACCAACGTGTTCCAATAAAGCGGAATCCACATTATTTACAAACGTAACAAAATAATTTCCATCAGTTCCGGGGATAAGGCCCTAATCGCCAGAGCTACTGTGGTGCTTCGCGTCGCAGTTGTTGGTTTGGTGGGTGGGTGAGGGAGGGAGGGGGGGGGGGGGGGGGGGGGCGCCATTGGAACTCCTTGCCATGGGCGCCAATATGCCTAGAAACGGCTCTGGTTACGCACACTGTTATTCGGATTGAATTCCGTAACCCCATATCAATGGCCGAAATTTCAAAGATAGTGCGATTCACTCTGAGGTCGAAAAAGACCTCAGAGTGACCCATTTCGACACATGGGCCCCGCAGGAGTCTAGTTATTAAAAGAGGACCCCAGGTTTCGCAAAATTGATTTAGAGCGGGCCAAATTGACCCAAAGTGACCCTGAGTGACCCAAGTTGACCAATTCACCCAGCTTAGGCTTAATTATTTCCAGAGTGATCCAAGTTTTCTCTCTGGGTCACTTAAGGTCCCTTTTTGTTAAATTTCATTGCTCTCAGTCGATTTTTAGTAAACTTGGGTCAATCTAGGACAGTGGTTTTCAACCGGTGTGTAGCGACTCACTAGTGGGTCGCTATGGTCTTCCAGGTGGGTCGCGAGGGAATGAAATGAATTAAAATTAAAAGATGGAGAGATATTAGAGAAGACGAAGGTTAATCATAGGTGCCGAACCGAACTACAGGGCTATGTTATATGAGTTAATCTTTTCAGGAACGACCTAATCTCATAATTTACCTAATGGTATTTTTTTTAAACATTCAATTGTAGATGGGTCGTTTTCTGATGAAACCGAGTGCACGCAATGGTACTAATGGTTGCACTCCTGGTGAAGTCACTGGGACAGAAGTCGGCTTTCCTCTGGTAAAAAAAGAAATTCAAAATTAGTATCAATCTGGAAGTACAATGTTTCATACCTTCAGGTTGTTTCACAGTCCCAGAAAGTACGAAACCAGAATGCATATTTTGCGTTGATCTGCTGGCAAATGCATCCATGAAGCATTCACAATTGAAGCGGCATTTATCAGGTTGTGGAAAAAGTATTGTCGGTTTTTGGAGTGCCAACTTTGAAAGCTCACTGGACGTCGTTGCATTTGTTTCATACCATGTGTTATATATCAAATTGTAGCTTGTTTTGTCGTGTATCACGTGCATGTAGTTTTATTTTCATTATGTTTGACTGGCGTTGTCTTTCAGCACTCGGATTAAGAATGGTATCGGAGCAAATCCGGGTGTGCCTTTTCTACGAGTTTAGCTAGGCCATAACGTGACTTTGGTTTCCCGCAACATTATCCAAGCAGGGGGCAAAGACTCCGTCACGGAACGCGATGCCCAGTGCTGGTGTCAAAGGTTCTGTTCTGGTGACACAAGCCTTCAAGACAAACCCCGCTCTGGCCGTCCATCCATCGTCGACAATGACGTCCTCAAGTCACTGATTGAGTCGGACCCTGCCGGACGGTCCGAGAACTCGCAACGATCCTTAACGTTGACGCCAAGACTGTTTTAAGCCATCTGCGTGACATCGGCAAGGTCCGCAAGCTCGAGAAGGGGGTCCCCCACGAATTGAGAGAAAAGAACAAAAATCAACGTCGCACGATCTGCACTCCGCTGCTTATATAGGGAGTCACCCTTGCTATACAGGGTGACTCAAAAGTCCTTGGACAAGGAAAAGTAAGTTTATTTCTTTGTAATGAAGGCCTAGAACAAAAACAAGTAGACCAATGGAAAGATAACGAAAAACCCTACAAAATCATTATTTAGTTTTCAAAATGGCCACCTTTGGCGGCCAGAACTTGCCTCAATCGTTTTGGGAAGTCATCCACGGTGATTCGAAGCTGCTCGAGAGGCATTTCATCCCATGCGCGCCTGAGATCGCGTTTGAGAGCCACCAAACTTCGGTGGGCTTTTGCGCAGACCTTGGCCTCCAAATACGACCAGATGCTGTAATCCATTGGATTCAGATCAGGTGAACTGGAAGGCCATTCTTCTGGTGTAATCAGGCCAGGAAAATTTTTTTGGCACCACTCGATTGTGCTTTTTGCCTTGTGTGCTGGGGCTGAGTCTTGCTGGAAGACCCAGCTTTTGCCACGGAAGTGCTCTTGAGACCTGGGTAGTAAGACCTTCTCTGAGACCTATCTCTTCTTGATAGTAGGAGGCATTGATCTTGACCTGCGGCGCAACAAAATGCTGAGGTGCTTTGCCTGTTGCGGTAACTCCCGCCCAAACCATCACAGATGCTGGTTTCTGTGCCCAATTGACACGGCGATGATGTGGCTGCATGCAGCGCAAATTTTCACCCCAGACACGATTGTTTTGAGGGTTGTGAGCTTGCTAAACAGTGAAGATCTTTTCATCTGAAAAGCGGATGTCGCGATGTGAACCGTTCTTGAAGCGCTGCAGGAGGAGTCGTGCCTTTCTCTCACGAGCCTTCTTATTTTGATCTGATAAATGCTGGACCTTCTGTTTTTTTGTAAGCTTTGAGTTGTAGCTTGTCTCTGAGAAACCTTTGAAGTGCTTCTTTGTCTACTCCAACAGTTGCAGCAAGCTTTCGTCCAGAGCGTTCGGGATTCCGTTTGAGCAGCTGCTTCACTTGTCTGACGAGCCGCACGTTCTTAAATGCTCATGGGCTGCCACTTCTAGGGCGATCTGCACTTGTTCCAAGCTCCTTGTAGCACTTGATGGTGTTGTAAACTGTGGAACGAGGCAATTTCAGCAACTTCACAATGTGCTTTGCTGAATGTCCTTTTTTGTAATGAAAAATGATCGCATCTCGGGCCTCCTGCATTCGGATATGAAGAGCAATCCAGGTCAAACTTGCAGGGAGAAGAGAGTGGAGCCTAATGCTTGAATAGAAAAAAAAAGTGTAGGCTTGAATCAATTGCGACATGTCATTTCAATCTTGTCCAAGGACTTTTGAGTCACCCTGTATAAGCCAACATTTCCAACAAGGCCATACCA